GACCCTAGACAATTTTTTTTAATTTTATTAACCGACATAGTCACTCTATGATACTAAATAATTTTTTATTAACTGACATAATGACTCTACGACCCTAGACAATTTTTTTTAATTGACATAATGACTCTACGACCCTAAATAAATTTTTATTAAATCTCATAATGATTCTACAACCTTAAACTAATTTTTATTATTTGACATAATCACAACTATATATGTAGCCATACACTGCAGCTGACTGCAAAAAGATCCGACGTAACAGTAATTTTAAACATTCTGTGCATTTCACTTTCATTACAATTAATCTGAATGAATACATAACTAAAGAATTAAGAATTGTTTGAAGTATTAAGACTTAACTACATGAAACTATGTGAACTCTTAAGGAACAACTAACGCTTAAGGACCTAAGAAACGACTTCAAATTCGTTATCCAAATATATAAAGAAACATGCACTCCTTAAGAAGCAGCATGTTGCCTAACTGCTCCAAAAAAGCAAGCTTGAATGAAGTTTGCTCCATCACCGAAATGTCCTATTTTGCTTTACTCCAGGTGGGCTTGTAACCTGTTAGGGTAAACGCGACGAAATTCGAGCAATTTCGCTGCAACACGCGAAGGTTGAGCAATCGAGCCCATCTCGGCGCGTAACAAACGGACCGTGGAGCGTTTGTGCGTTGGAAAGAAGGGAAAAGGACAAAGACAGTTTCCGGTGTCGAAATCGGCCATTTATGCAACTCACGTGTCCTTCGTTTCTTTTACTTCACTTCCATATCATTCCGTACACATTTCCTGAATATCACTTTGATCTTTACAAAATTCATAAGGAATATCACGCGAACTGATTATTGATAGAATCTGTAACAAATTTCTGAAAAATGTTGCTCAGATCTGTAACAAATTTTCTGAAAAATATCACAAGGATCTATAAGTTATTCCTGAGAAATGTCACTTGAATCTGTAACAAAACTTTCTGAGAAATATCATATGAATCTATAAGTAATTCCTGAGAAATGTCACTCGAATCTGTAACAAAATTCTTGAGAAATGTCACTCGAATTTATAACAAAATTTTTAAGAAATGTCACTCGAATGTGTAACAAAATTCCTGAGAAATGTCACTCGAATCTATAACAAAATTTCTGAGACATCACACGAATCTAATTCCTCAAAAGAGAAATGTCACTCAAATCTCCAATTTTCTAAAAAATATCACTCGAATCTCTAAGAAGTCTTTACAGAAAATAAATTAAAATCAATAGCACTGTTAAGCTTCCTTGTGTAGACCACTTTGTACCTTAGAACGATTTTAGCAAGTGAAGGCACGAATGCGTCGAAAGAAGTCGGATACTGTGATCAATTAACGATCAAGCCGTGATCGACCTTGTAACACTAAACGTTATCTGCGTACAGCTTCCAAGGGGTTAGGAAAATCGGTGTATCCCGATCAAGGTAATGAATCATCGACGTAACTGTACAAAATAACAATCGATCTAATAAGAACAAGGTGAACTAGAGGGACTATTAGAAAGAATCTTACAAGGGAAGTGCGCGACCTTCACTCTGATTAGGTAGTGCATAGTCAGAGGACCCAGAAGTAAGTGGATCCTACAAATTATTGTGTGATGTTCTCACATTAAGACTCTACACAATTTTTTATTGTGGGACATAATTCTAGTAAATTTGACTTCTTAAATTTTTATTAAGTGACATAATGACTGTATGACCCTAAACAAATTTTTATTAACTGATACAATGACTGTATGACACTAAATAAATTTTTATTGACTGACACAATGACTCTATGACACTAAATAAATTTTTATTAACTGACATAATGATTCTATGACTCTAGATAAATTTTTATTAACTGACACAATGACTCTATGACACTAAATAAATTTTTATTAACTGACACAATGACTATATGACCCTTAACAAATTTTTATTAACTGACACAATGACTATATGACCCTTAACAAATTTTTATTAACTGATACAATGGCTCTATGACACTAAATAAATTTTTATTAACTGACACAATGACTATGACTCTAAATAAATTTTTATTAACAGACACAATGACTCTATGACACTAAATAAATTTTTATTAACTGACACAATGACTATATGACCCTTAACAAATTTTTATTAACTGACACAATGACTGTATGACCCTTAACAAATTTTTATTAACTGATACAATGATTCTATGACTCTAAATAAATTTTTATTATCTGCCACAATGACTCTACGACCCTAAATAAATTTTTATTAAATAATACAATGATTCTACGACCCTAAACAAATTTTTATTATCTGACACAACTCTAAGCTACAATTCTCAGTCCACAGTTCCCCAAAACTTTCATTATTTTTATTTTAAAAAATCATCAGACTTGAGTGCATAATCCATCAAACCCAGACAAGGGTCCTCCCTTTTTTTCACTTAATTAATTTCTCATTGGATCATTCCACCATTTCCTAGTATCAAGTTCGACGTTCTGAGATTCCCAAATGTCAGGTGCAAAAATTTGAATTTCTAAAACGAGAACATTAAAACAGTCAGACACGGATTTACCGATGAATCGATATTTCGATGGACAGTGCAGGGGCGTCGAGGTCGACAAGGAAGGAATATCGATCTTTCGGATAATGTAAGAGAAAGATAACACTGCAATTAAATGCTTTTTATGAGTTATAGAAAAAAGGTTTTAACCAACCTGCTTCTACTAATTTAATTTGCATATTTATGTAATTCGTATCGATTGGAAAAAAGTAGTCAAACTGCTCTAGAAAAGTGCTAATATCTGGTAATAAAAGTTTGTACCAGAAAATAAAAAGCTTCGATCCAAGCATCATTCCATCTTGATATTTCGTAACTTCCTGCCTAAATTAAATATTTTTTTCTACTGCACACGTCATCTTATTAGCATAACAATTTATTTGTCAAATAAATATTTTAGCTAAAAAATAACCTTGGGATCTCGTGTCAGGAGTGATCGATGTTGATCCAGTAAATTTCAGTTATGACAGAGTGTAATTAAAGGCTGTGGTTAAAGGAATTTTGGACAAGTACTACATTACGACCAAAATTGTACGGAGTTACAAAATCGTGAGCTGTCTGCGAGAAAGAGAAATGAGAACTGTTCCACAAAATCCATCAATTTTAATTAAAAAACTTGGGTATTCCAAATTTGTGTAATTTATTATCGAGGTCTTTGAATTAGTCAGATCGACATTGCAATAAAAATGCAAATTTATTATTTATAGAACTCGGGAATTTATTTCTTTCAGCTTCAAGTAAAAAGTGCACAGATAAAGTAAACAAGTTTGTTTTCCTGTGATCTAGATCTAGATATCTGCCTGTAATACAAAGATAACATCTAATATTTTCTCTAACAAATTCTGTAAATTCTCAGAAATTTTCAAACATAACTACACCTATTAAATATGTGTAAATAATTATAACTACCTATGATTAATGCAGGAATGTCATAGGGGTACAAAATGCAGTTAAAAACACTCAGCACAAACAATAAGTCGAAGACGCAAAATATTAATCAAAAAAGGAGGGGCATAAATAATCTTTCGCAAGAAAAAGGAGCGGAAAGGTTGCCTTGGATCGCTTTTCGAGGACCCCTGCTCACTCCCCACGCCCAATTTCTTTTCACCGTTTCTGTAGCCCGCCACATGCCCACCACCGTCGACTCGTTCAAGGGTTCGTCGTGGACGTCTCAACGTATAAAAGCAGTGGATCTTCTTGGTATCTCATCAGTCGCAAAACAACGACGAGCCAAGTCAATAGCAGCACCATGAACGCTAAGGTGAGCATTGACTCTGCGAACACTCATCACACTTTCTGGATTTGTCAATTCTGGATTTCAACTGACGGACTTAGACTTCTTACAAAATTCAAAACACTTTTCATTTCTGTTAGTTCTCAGGTAACTTAGAGCTAGAGCTAGGTTTCTCCAGGTTTCTATAGAAGACTAGCTATTCCCTTCAAGTAAGAAATTCAATTTTTCTACCAAACTTTGAACTCAAATTGTTAACCCATTGAGACAGTACGACAGAACTGATATAGTATGACAGAAATCATACTACAGATGGTAGAAAATAAACATGGAGAAGTTTGATGTTGAGGAGAATGTCTTTCTGGTTGCAGCTTTTCATAATTTTCGCCCTCGTGGCAGTAGCATTCGCCGAGGAAGGGGCGGAAGACACAGCCGCCGAAACGAAGAAGGACAAACGCGGGATTTACGGGTTAGGATATGGAGGATACGGAGGACACGGATACGGTGGTGGATATGGTGGTGGATACGGTGGTGGATACGGCGGAGGTGTCTCTGTACTGACACAGCAAGTACCTGTTCCTGTTCCGCAACCTGTTGCTGTTCCCGTCGAGAGACGCGTTCCTTACCCAGTTAAGGTAAATTTCTTCACATTAGTGTGCCAGAATCGTGTCCCAGTGTACAGTGTATATGAAACACAGTAATAGTGGTTTTTCCCATTTGTATCTTTCGAGTCAGCTGAAGTGCTGTCACGACATTTGAACTTGTTTCGCAAAAATGAAATCGTGCGTGGAGGCATGTGAGAGGACCTCGAACCACGCTCTATTTATCGCGGAATATCTGTTCCTTGGCAGTCACTTCATCATCGGACGTTAATTAACGTTTCAATGCGAACGTGCGTGGATTTCGTAAGGATAGAAACGCGTTCTTAGAAAATTTCGTAAATCGTGCAACTGTTTCTTTTAATCAAGTGTTGATCTGGCTGGACTGAAAGTCCACCTTGCCCCAAACTTTTCGCCTGACTATAACCTTTTTGTTCATATTGATGAACGACTTCATATTGATTCAAAAGTTGAAGTTTGATAACTGATGAAATTGACGAGACACAATTTACAGACTTGCAGAACAGACTTATCCTTTCTTTTAATCAGGTGTGATCTGGTTGGACTGAAAGTCCACCTTGCCCCAAATTTTTCGCCTGACTTTTATAACCTTAGTAATTTGTTCATATTGATGAATGACTTCATATTAATTAAAAACTTGAAGTTTGATAACTGATGAAATTGACGAGAGACAATTTACAGACTCGCAGAATAAACTTATCCTGTAATTGAATATGAAGAATCTTAATAATCTTATAATTAAATATGAAGAATCTTAATAATTCGATAATTCAATATGAAGAATCTTAATAATCCTATTATTAAATATGAAGAATCTTAATAATTCGATAATTCAATATGAAGAATCTTAATAATCTTATAATTCAATATGAAGAATCATAATAATCCTATAACTAAATATGAAGAATCTTAATAATCCTATAACTAAATATGAAGAATCTTAATAATCCTATAACTAAATATGAAGAATCTTAATAATCCCACAATTAAATAAGAAGAATCCTAATATTTTCCTATAATTAACTATGAAGAATCTTGATATATAATCCCATAATTAAACATGAAGAACCTAATGACCAAGTTACCAAAGATTAGACAAACCAAAAAGAAATTCCAACTATCAAAAGATCAACCTAACAAAACTTTGAACCTTCAGGTACCAGTCGCAGTGCCAGTAGACCGTCCAGTGCCCGTCCACGTACCGAAACCCTACCCAGTGGAGGTGACCAGGCACGTACCAGTGCCCGTTGACAGGCCAGTTCCAGTTCCAGTGAGCGTTCCAGTCAAGGTTCCAGTACCAGCTCCGTACCCCGTCAGAGTACCTCAACCCTATGCCGTCCCGGTCGTGAAACCCGTTGCAGTCGCGGTCCAGTCGTCGCCCCAGGTCGTCATCGAGAAGTACAACAGCGGTCACAGCGGCTGGTCCCCAAGTGGTTACTCTTCCTGGTAAACAACGCAACGTGGATTTGGAGAGCTAGCTTTGTCTCGGCACTTCTGTTTTCAATCGCTGTTGACGATGTTCCTCAAAATCATTTCTCTACTGAAAAGTTCTGTTTCACCTGAACGGAGAATTTTTGAGGATAAATTTTTCAACAGTTTGGACAATGATTTCATCCTCTGCTTTTGGATTTTCCTGTTTTTGTAAGTTTGACGAAGAATGGCTCTCCTCGATCTGGACCCTTCTGGAAGTCCATGAACAATCGTTCAGTGGAAGGGATGGAAAAGATCGCACTGACTTTAGGAATATTTTTGTATTCTATTCTTTTGTACATGTAAATCGACGTCCATTGCATCGTAGAAATAAAGAATTTTCGTACGAATCTACTGTGGGAAACCTATCCGGAAACGATCCAATTTCCTCGTTATCGAAGTAATTGCATAATTATCTCATTGTACCTTATACCACCGTTGCATAATTCTCTAAACGTCAGTAGAGTAAACGTTTCAATTAAAGTATAGGAATAGCACATGTCGATATAAGGATTTAGAAAGCCTTAAAAATGACATGATATGTGAAATTAAAAAACTGCGCATTTAACCGTATCGATTACACACGCTGAAAACTTGCAATCCACTTTTATGGGAACAGGAAATGATTCAGCGATTCTTACTGATACTTGTTACTGGTTTTATTGTATTTGATCAAGATTTATTTTTCACGTTTGAGAACTCACGTTTCACATTTCGAGTGTATAGATTACATTGTAGATTCGAGGAGTATGTGATCGTAGGAATTGATAGAGAAAAGCCTGTAGAAGGGAATAGTTTGAGGATTATGGAGACTGGGTCTGGAGACTAGGTCTGGAGACTATAGGTCTGGGTAGAAATATTAAATGGAGGACGCTATGGTCGTCTAGAGTCTAGGAGCTAGACTTAGGTCATAGCTAAACTTCTATGACCTAAGGAGGACGTAGAAGCTTATGAGCTAGGGAACTTAGCTGAGGGGATTTAGGTTTAAGAGCTTAATGAAGAACCTAGGAAAGTCTCAAGGACCAGATACAATCTATAATACTTATGACTCTACCTAATAGGAAAAGAGAATCTAGGACCAGTTTAGAGATTAGAGAGAGCTTAAAAACTGAGGAAAAGAGAGAGACTAGGTAAAGCCTATGAGCTGTGGAGGGCCTTAAACTTCAGCTGAAGATAATAAATTATATAATGTAACATCAGATGTAAAGGAGGTATCTATCAGTGTACCACATCACATAAATATCAACATTTATTAAAAAGTATATCAAAATCTAACAAAAATTGACAAACAGAAACTTAACAAAAGTTTGATATACATAATATACAGTCCTAAAGGGTTCAATGATGATCAGAGTAGTCGGGTTGCGAGGGTTGGAAGTTTCCTTGTTCGTGTCCCTGCTGATTCACCGTGTAAGTGCTATAGCTTTCGGACTCGTGACCCCCGTGATCGCCGGAATCATAACCACCCACGCCACCGACGCTTTCCTCCGAATGGCTGCTCGCTTGATAAGGAATCGGGTGTGGTACCGGGTAGAAGACCGGCTTGCTTATAGCCACGGGTTGAGGAACGGGTATCGGCTGCGGTATTGGCACTGCCTTCGGCACCACCAGCGGTACTTGCTGATGAATCTCGACCGGGTATGGCTTGGACACCTCGATCGGCACGTGTTCCTGGACTTTCACTAGCTTCGTGTACGGAATCGCGATAGGATGGTTCACCGGCACTGGCACGGGTATGTGATGAGGCACCTACAAAAGAGAAAGGAATTCTAGATCAAGAGAACGCGTCCGGAACCGCCCGACAGAGGACTATCTTGTTTCGTGGTTGCCGAGAAATGGGATCGTCCGGCTTGTGGTTTCGAGAAAAAGATGCGGTTCGGTATACGGGGTGTGCCATTAACTCTCGTCATAAATTTATTGTTTGACAAATAATTTGACTGACTGACTTTTCAAGACATCAGCAAGGTTTTTGAAAATTTTTTAAGACATTAACTTTGGACTCAAAGTGTAATTCAAAATATAGGATTGTCATAAATTTATTATTTGACAAATAATTTGACTGACTGACTTTTCAAGACATCAGCAAGGTTTTTGAAAATTTTTCAAGACATTAACTTTGGACTCAAAGTGTAAAATATAGGATTGTAAAGATTTTAATTATTTCTCTCATGGAAAGTTTGCAAGTTTTACTAAAAAGCTGTGGAGTTTAATTTTGTACTGTTAGGTGATGGTTTTTTTAATACTGTTCTAGTACCTTGACTGGATACGGGACTGGGACCTTGACAACGGCAGTCTTCGTGACCTTAATGATTTTCGTCGGGATTTCTTTCAGATGCACCGATTGCGAGATAAGTTTCGGTTCACTGGCGAAACCATGGCCTTCCAGGGAGGAGAAATGAGAGGCCTTCGTGGCGGCCACGGCCAGAGCGAATAAAAACTGCAAACCGATCACCAAGTTCATGAAAGACAAGAAATTCGAAAAATTCGATCGAATCTAATATCTCTCAAAAATTTCAATTACAAAATTTCACACCGAATCAAAAAGGGTAATTACAAGTAAAACTTTCACTTAAAATTTATCACAGAGAATCTACATCTAGCAATACTTTCCCCAAAAGATGCTTTCTCCATTTTTAATAATCACTTTCTGATACACTCGAAACCCTTTGTCACTGATACACGTTCACAAAAGTGTGAAGTAAAAAAGAGATCCCTTGGTCACTTCCGGTTTAAGATGATAAACTTACTACTCGTAACATTTTCAGGTTCGTAGATGGAAGTAGATAGTTGCTTCCAATGGAGAAGAATCACACTGACAATTGCAGTACAAGCTGTTCCTTATATACGAAGACCTTCACCATCACCGATTCACGAAGAAAGCACTCTCTTTCCGACTGGCTTACGTTCTCTTGATCTTGTCTCCGCTTCTCTCCTTTTTTTTCTCTCGCGACGGACGAAGTTCGACGACCGCCGTTAACGACAACTTCCGGTCTCTCGTCCGTTCTGGAGCACGCTCGATTTCAACCGTAATCGATGGCGATCCTTCTTGCTGCATCCTCTGAAATCTGATGAAGATCGTTTCGTAACTGACCTCGTCACGCTACTGTTTTCATCCATTACTTGTTACCGTAATTTTTAATTTACATTACCGGAAAATTTAAAAAATTTAATGAATAGCCAGGAAGATTTATAGCGAGGAAAAGGTACAGCTAATTTTGCATTAAATTATGTAGAGAAATTATGAGTAGACTGTTATTATTTCACCTTCCATTTTCCACTTTCTACCTTACAATATTCCACCATATTAATTCGATGGTATATTTACTGACCATGGTCTTTCTCTTTTAAATTAATTAATTGGACATGTCAACATGTTACGTCGATTTTTTTGAGACACCAAAATCAAGATAAAATTCCACTGAAGCTATAATTACAATTAACAATGTATGTAAATTGAGATCTCCATCTTGAGTAATTCATTACCAGCATTTAAGTGTTAAACTTACGCAACATGTCCAATTACTCAGGATGACATCTGGATCCAGAAACGTGTTTCAATTGAAACCTTTCAACTCTGGTAATTCATTAAAGATTCCAACTTTCACCAACATATTGATTTAATATATTCACGCGTTGACTCGAAACGTCCCAGTGAAAATTTGTTAAAATATTCTTTATTAACCAAAAACAAGTAGATTTGAATAAATATATCGTATAACCAAGGAAAAAGTAAGTATAATTCGAAAGCAACAATTCGAGACATAAAAAACTACATCTCTTTTGATATGTAAAATATTTCACGGGCAGTACACTCACGGAATCTCCGTTATCGAAGTGCCACGCCAAATCTCCCCTTCAATTTTCAGTAGTCAAAGAAATCCAATTACTTCCTACGTAGATCTCGCGATTCAATTTCCTGTCGGTAAAAGAATGGTGAGAGCAATTCTGAAATACAAAACGCGCAGGACGATTCACGAGGCGGAGAACGGTGAAAGGATTACCGTTGTCGGACACTGAAAGAACCGTCCAAAGTAAAAGGATTAATCTGGATCATCTGGCTCTTTCTCCTGTGTATGCACTCGTGCGAGGAAACGACTCACCTTTCCGCTTTGAAACAAACCTCAGAGCCACTCTTTGCAGTCGAATTTACCCTCCATATTCAGGGTGGGCGATTTTAATAATTTTCCAACTTTAGCGGGACAAATTTGCATGTTAAATTAAATTATATGATTTCTTAGTTATGTTCAGTTAAATTTATGTGATGTGTTCATGTGTTCATAATGTGACAAATTTTATTTTTTATTGTTTCAGCTATGTAGTCGCCATTTTTTTGACCACTGATTCTTACATACACAGTTATGTTTATATGATAATTAATTTGATATGTTCATAATATGACAAATTTTATTTTTTATTGTTTCAGCTATGTAGTCGCCATTTTCTTAACCACTGATTCTTACATACACAATTATGTTTATGTGATGATTAATTTGATATGTTCATAATATGACAAATTTTATTTTTTATTTCTTCAGCTATGTAGTCGCCATTTTCTTCACCACTGATTCTTACATACAGTTAAATTTATGTGATGATTCAGTTGATGTGTTCACAATTTTATTTTTTATTTCTTCAGCCATGTACTCGCCATTTTCTTCATCATTGATTCTTACACAGTTAAATTTATGCGATGATTCAGTTGATGTGTTCATCATTTTATTTTTTATTTCTCCAGCTGTGTAATCGCTACTTTTTTGACCACTGATTTTTACATACACTGACTCATTTTGAGATAATAGGATCCGTATGAACATGTTAAAAGGGAAGACAAGATGGTGACGTAAGGCAAGATGGCGACCGCAGGGTATTAAGAAAATACAAGTGATTATCAGAAGGCGTGGGTGTGCCGTTTAGGTTAGCGTAATTGGACCTTTATCCATCCGATCAAAGCGTACAAGCTTTGCGTTTAATCGGTGACGGTAAAACGGTCCTCTAAGGGCGGTAAAAACCGGTTCGATACAAAAGCAAAAGTGAAATCATTATTCGCCCAGCCCTCTTTCTCCTCTCACTTTCGATGAAAGCTAGTAACCGAAACGTTTCCATTGGAAACCAATCAGCTTGTCTAATGAAATAATTGTATCCTAAATTATGTTCTGAGTTGACTTCTTTATCGAGGAGAAAACTTGAAAATATTTTTAAAGGCAGAGCTAATGTAAGCTAGCTTTTAATCTAAATTTCGTTAGGCATAAAATCTAAGCGACCACTTTAATTCACATTCTGACTGAACATGGAGAATGACAGTAAAAGTGCTATGAATTTTGTCCAATTCCCCGGAGAAAGGCAGAAAGTTGCAAAAGGCACACGTGAAAAGGCATTCGAAATGTGAGAGGCTCTAAGGAAATAACATAGAGTAACATCAAAAATCGAACTGGGTTAACTAAAAATCAGAGTTTCCATATCTAGTTTCAACCACGATAAAAAATATCAAACTTTCCATCTTCGCAGTGGATGTAAAATTTTACTTGCTCTCTGTTAATTATGGAAAGTGGATAATAAAGATAATTGGAGCTCCTTTCCTTCCGCAGTATGTCTAGAAACAATATAGCACATGTTGCTACTAGGTGCTATGTAGGTAATATGTGACACGTTCACTCTCACCTGTGTCTTTCATGTTAATTTAATTTTAATTTTATTACGAAGTTTCGTCTTCTCTCTTGTAATCATTAGATTACAGCAAATTATAGATTCTTGTGGCAAGCTGTTTTTTAAGATTTTATTTTTGTGGCGCCTGTATGACTTCTCTTACCTGCAAGTATCACGAGAAGTCTACCTACAGGCTCTAAATCTATCACCTTCGACGAGTCGTCCACAGATAGAGCCACAGTGCTAATTTATTTAAAAAAATAATTAAATTATGCAACATGGATCAGTGATCTGTTACATCCTCACATATATACAAATATACAAAACACAATTTAACCAAAATTATTTCAATCTTTGATTTGCATTATTTTCAACAGCTCAAAAGAACAATAGCTTTCTTATTAGTCCCTTAATTGATCATAAATTAGTTCATATAAATGTTTGATTCGCAAATATTCTTATTTATACATAGATAAAAAGCTCAGAAGAAAGTCCAACTTAATGGAAATGTTATGGATCCAAGACTCTTCTCGGTTCAAGGTTACAAGTCCGTGAACGTTCCAAGAAGATTACATAACCTTGAGCAGCCCAATTTTTAACGATACCGTTAAGAAAGTTATGACTCTAACATCAAGATCTTTGATATCTATAGTACATTAGCCACAGGTATCTATAGAAATGTCCTCGAGACAAAACAAGGAAGTACAAGAACAAAGAGACAAAAGAGATGTCATCTACAAAGTATTCTGTGAAGAGTGCCATTAAGTAAGTCTCAATAAATAAAGAACTCGAATTGAATTTAAATAACAAAGAATTTAAATAGTCGCAAATGTTGTCAATTCAAATCGTGTCCCATTGGAACCACATCAATTTACAAATGTCAAGTTATGCAGAAACATTCATTTCCCATAATTGTGAATTCAGGATTTACTGCCTGAAGATCCCATAATAAATTCGACGGAGATCGTGGGAAGATTTTTTATTAAATAAATATTTATTATAGGCCAAGGATAAATTCGAGTTCATTTACAATTTAAATCCATTCGCAGGGTTCGGTCTTCTTTTTATATGCATATTCTTAATTAATATTTTTTATACGAAGGTTGTCGCTCGAACATATTAAAATTCATGGACCAAATTTTTCTGAAATCTCTTAGTTTCCTAACAAACTTATAAATGATCAGTGATGTAAGGTACTCAAGAGTTATCACGAACTTATGATTGGGTCATACGTTTCAAAACGAGCCGTCCATTAAACCTTACAAAAGTTATCCAAGTCCTTTAAAAGCTTCGATAATGGGCGTAAACATCGTAACAGAGACGAAAGGCGACGAATTTACATAAATCATCGCTACAGAGTTAAAGCGTTGGATAGAGTGCAAGAGAAAAAGAACGTAGGAACATTAATACCAAACGAAGCAAAGTCTGTCCAAACGACACCAATACAATCTACGGATACATGTCCAGGAAATATTTCGTTCACGACGCTGGAGCATCTCGATGGCTCAGGCCTTCGACAAGAAGTCAATTAAAAAATCTAGTTCTGCCAATGCCACAAGGATTGCGAAATAAACTGGAGGGAGCATCGGCCGAGTATAAAAAGTCGACATATCTTTGGGATGATATTCGACTCCACATCCAAACATCACGCGGTTAACATGAAACTCCTGCTCGTCGTTCTGGTAAGATTCCTCTATTCACATCCTCTCCTTCATCTTTACTAGTCTTTAGTTCTCTGAATTTTACATTAACTCTATATTCTAAAATAACTGTAGCTTCACATATATGACTTGCAACCCCCAAGTCTGAGCCACGTGTCCTTTTAATTAATGCCACGTGTGACATTAAGCTAGGCCAATGTGGATGGTACTTTCAATGTGGATGTTGAATTATATTGCATCGCAGTTAAATTTCACTTACAAAACCCTTGTAATATTTCTATTTCTAGTTATGATTACACTCGATGTATCTTCCTTAAGCCCTTGAACAATTATACTATTAACCATTTAGCTTTACCATTTAGCTTTACCATCTAGCATTACTAAATCTCAAAATACTTTCAACATCATTCAGTGACACACGTTCAAAAATAAAATCTATTAACATATAATTGCGAAATGTTGCAGGGCTGTATAGCAGTCTCGGCTCTGCCCGTGGAGAAGCAAAAAAGAGACATCCTCCCAGGAGACCCCCGCTACGGTACCGATCATCATCACCATCACGAAAACGTGATCGAAGATGCACGAAGCTCGCTGCCATCGAACAGCTACGGACCTCCTGGCTATCAACCAGGTGTTCCTCTGAACCACTTGGAGCAACACTCTGACGTAACTCATTTTTCGACTCCGTTGCCAAACTTTGATGTCTCCAACAATGTCCAGGTATGATCAAATGTTAAATGTTAATCAAATGTTGCTTAAATTGTTGTTTCATTGGAGTTCAATGATCTTTGTGTAGGAGTTAACGGTATCTTTATTTATGGTTTTGTACAGCTTCCTCAACTGAGCAACAGCTACATACCCGTGAACACGGAGACGAAGAAGACTGTCACGACGGTTAATGTTCCTGTTCAACACACGAAGGTTCGTCAAATGTTTAATTACTAGCAGGGAAATTATATGCTATTATATGTAATAAGTATAAATACAATGAACGATTATCTAATATTTGACCATGCAATGAATAACGATATAGTGTGTTGCGATTTAACACGTGGTTAATATTTAATTCGCGTTGCAGACCGTAAGCGTTGGACCACCAGCCACCTCTTACGGAACTCCCGTGGTACATCACACCAAGGTAAATTAACATACCGAATCTCTTTTACAAGTACGTGATTAAATTTGAATTTTGTTCAGACCTCGGTCGATACGTCCAGCGGACACGTTGAGACAACGCACAAGACAGTGAAAACCGAAGTTCACGACCAGCAGGTGGTAGACTTACCGACTCCGTCAGTGAAGGTCATCCAACAAACACCCGTTACCCAAGGTAGCTTGAGCTTTATTTTTATAATTTGTCAGACAAACGCGAAAGGCAAATCGAAAGGCAGAATACCGTAGGCGTCATTACGCAACGCATAAATTTTAAAATTCCGATAATTCAACGAACGTCATGTTGCCAACATTCTGAATAATTTATACACCCGATCCGCTATGTTTTGCGGAGATAAATATTCATTTTTGTAACCTACAGAAAATACTTTCCAATTTTGAAATAACTTCTTTTTCAGTGGCGAAACATTTTACTGCAGTGAAGAACGTTCCAACCACCTTGACGAAAGACGTGCACTCTGATAGCCTAACTCAGGGTCTGCTCACTCAAAGCTTGCCCGGCTACCAATCGTTCGGAGGATTCTATAATGTACCCAGCTATAATATTCCTTCTTACACACCCTCCGTTTACACGAACTTCCAGCCAGGCTACAACGCCTTCCAAACTGCGTACTCCGGCTGGTCGAACTACCCTAGCACCCTGGACCACCAAGTGCAGCAGCCTCTCACCTCTCAATTCACCCTTCCAAGCTACTCTTACTCTCATACTGCTCAACTCCCGCAAACGTACCAATTGCCTCAAACTCTCACACACCTCGTAGAGCAAGTACAACCACTGCAGAATGTGCACTCTGTGTCCCCCGTGAAGACGGTGCAGAGTTATACTCCGGTGGAGACTTTGACCCACTCTGTGCAGCCAGTACACACTAGCTCTGTGAGCACCGTGACGCCTGTTCAAAGGGTGCAGTCCGTCGAGGTGTTGCCTCCTGTGAAGCAGAGCTACACTCCAGTGGAGACTGTGTCCCACTCCGTGCAGCCAGCGCACACTAGCTCCGTGGAGACCGTGACACCTGTTCAAAAGGTGCACTCCGTCGAGGTGTTGCCTTCTGTGAAGCAGAGCTATACTCCAGTGGAGACTGTGTCCCACTCCGTGCAGCCAGTGCACACTAGCTCCGTGGAGACCGTGACGCCTGTTCAAAGGGTGCAGTCCGTCGAGGTGTTGCCCTCCGTGAAGACTGAACACACAGTGCACTCTGGTCAAGTCCAGAAAGGACCCATCAGCGACTTCTTCCAGAACCTCTCCCAGAACTTCCCATCTCTGCCCTCGTTTCCGACGTTACCATCCTTCCCCTCGTTGCCGGATTTACCTAGCTTTCCCTCGACGCCAGCGCCAGCTGAGGAACCTGTCTCAGAAGTTAAGGGTTTTACTGCCGACAAAGAATCCATCACCGTGGAGAACCCGTTAGTGTCCGACAGCTTGAAGGGTACCGTTGTACAGCACGTCACTCCCGCTAACGAGTATGTTCAGCCCACGGCTGCGAATGGAGGATACGTTTATTGAAAGGGAGTCGAATGCTTGAGATTGAAAGATCAAGAGAAATGTGAAAGTCACAGGACGGATGTAAAACGCGAACTAATATAAGTAAATAAATTCTTTTATTACAAACATGGTCGTTTGATTTTAGGTTAAGGCGGAACTGTAATTTTGTAGTCGTTTGAGAAGTGACACGATTTCGTGGGGTAAAAGACTAATGCATGGTTAGGTTAGGTTACGTTAAGCTTGGTCCATTATTTGTTCCAATAAATCATCATTTTTTTTACTGTTGTGGAGTTTGTCGATGAGCAGATTATGTAGTCACTTCCTTAAATTAATGTGCCACAACTTCAGATGAATTCGACGCTTTCATGTCATGAAATCGTATCAAATGACACAGTACTGTAGAAAATGTATAAAATATTTTATTGTATCGTGTCATAAATCTTCAGGCGATGCAGTGTAAGAAGGAAGATGTGGCAAACGTCGGAAAAAATAAATTCTGAAGCAACACTGTTACCACACGTGACACTTATTCGGGGGGTTCATTTTCGACCCGACAGGGCATTTCCATACTTCGCTGAACTCTTTGGAATTCTTGAGAACTCCTTGAAGTCTCACGTGTCCGGGACAGTGAGAATCCAGCAGGATCCATTTGAGAGATTTAGGCGTATACGATTCGCACCATAGCTGGAATTTAAATGAAAAAATCTTGCGTAACTTTGGACAGTAATTATAAGGTTAAAATTTTCAACTCGATGAAATATTCATGAGGTGCCAGTATCAAACTTTGCACACATTGAATTATAATTTAGTGACTTGGCGTCTCACAAATTGGCCACAAAATTGCATGATGCTTCCTCCGGGTAGTAATTTGAATCGCGACAGGAAAGTTATCAGTATTCATAAAAAGTTGTTTAATTTATTCTTCAAAAAACGTACGATGCTCGCATGTTTCTTAATCTTATAATTATTAAAAATGTCACTCTGTTATCTCATCTAATGTACTGTTTCATAACTGAACTTTCTGAAACTTCTGCATAATAAAGTGGAATATTTATTCGCTTACGTGGGCGAAGCCGAGAAAAACAAGCTGCTCAGATGTGAGATGAGTGAATCCAGGAAGTAGAGGCTCTTGGCCGTGTCTGGCCTTCCATCTTTCGTAAGCGATGACAGCCTCTCTGAGACCCCCATTATCGGCTATATTTTCGCCCAGCGTACGTTCCCCGTCGATGTAATCGTCTACCTGTTGGAACGGACTCATGATTAACCATTCTTCATCGGGAACTGCTTCTTTGAACGAGATCATCTGTTTAAGATGGAGGTACACCTTGAGTTAAAAATTTGATCTTGTAACCTGGGTCAGCCTGACTTCACATTTTTATAAAAATTAGACTGAGTCTAAGACTGAGACTAAGTTAGAGAAGTTAGACTAAGTGTAGGAGTCTATAAACTAGGAAAACTTAATGTTTAAAAGAACTTAGAGATTAGGGAAATTAAAGAGTTTAATCTCTAAGAGAACTTATTGTTAGAGAACTTAGAGATTAAGATCGCCCAGACTAGGTGAAGTCCAGAGACCAAAAAGAGTCCAAACCATAAAAAAGCTAGAATCCTAAATATATTGTAAATTCCTTGATACCAAAATTTGTTATATTTACCTCAGCTTCATAATACTTGTTATAATGTTCCACAAAGCACTCTGTCTTCTCAGTATACCGCAAAATAGTCTCATTCGTCCACCACTGTCTAACATTCCCATCGCTATCGTAATGTCTCCCACTGTTATCGAATCCGTGAGTCAATTCGTGACCCAGAACCGTGCCTATAGCGCCATAATTCAGGGATCTAAAACAGAAGATATACATCTAGAACTGCTCAAATTCAATTACGTGATTGCCTTACTCCAAACCCAATTCGTAAAATGGGAACTGAAGGATTCCTGCAGGTATAGCTGCATGCGTTAGAGAAGTACATGGTTAACTTTTTAAAAATGCAATTGTGAAGAGAATCAGATAGTTACTTATGTGATTAAACTGGAAGGTGTGGAACGCGTTTACGTCGGTTGGATCGGTCGCCCAGCTGAAAAAGAAATGTGAGACTTTGCATCGATTTCGCAAATCAAACATGTGGAAACTTGATCTACTTTGCCTAAAGAACTTACTATGATTCATTGTTGTAATTAATATCGTGTATGCAGTCCAATTCCGAAAGAGCCATCAAACGTACAACTTGCACCATGTTGCCCAAATATTCCGTCTCTGAGAGGTCTATCTGAAAACACAGATGATTAAAAAATAATGACATCCTTGAACATATGAAAAAGTATTCAAACTTACGCCTTCATAGTAGTCGTTAAGGATCTTCTCATCGAACAACCACTCCGGAAACCCAATCTGAGACTCCATTTTCCTGTTCTTCTCCAAAGTCGCAGTTTTCGTTTGCATGTCCATCCAGTCGGTTCGCAGAACCATCGACGCGAAAGCCTCTTTTATATCGTCCAGCATTTCGAACACCTTTTTACCCTTGCCCTCGTGGAACAGAGGGTCCACGAACAACCACGAAACCGCCATACCTGTAAATTATAACATTGAGAAACCCTCCGATTTGATAGGTTCTAGGAACTAACCCATCAAGTCGTTCACGGCGGAAGCGCAGAGCATGGACTTCGATTCACCGATTTCGATGCTGGTCATCTCGTTGATGTAGTTGGTCCAAATTTTTCTTAGGCCGGTGGAGGAGTGCGGCACTACGATGTCTACGATCACCCACCAAATGTAGGTTTCTGGAATATCGAAATAATTGTTAGGTTAAGAGCTATAGGAAGCTGATGATCAAACTATGTTTGTACATTTTGCATGGACAGAAATATGACTCGTAGAGATTCAACGTATCTAATGCGTAATAATATGTAATATATGGGTTATCTAATACGTAACAATGTGTAATATATGACTTATCTAATGCGTAACAGTATGTAATATATGACTTATCTAATGCGTAACAATATATAATATATGACTTATCTAATATGTAATATATGACCTATCTAATAACATATGACAAAAACTTTCATTTGCAATGTTCATTATTCTTCATCTACCTAGTTCCTCCTCCTCGCTGAGAGTCAGCATCAAAGCAACCTCCTTCAAGTACTCCAAATCCCCAACCAAAACCTTGTCCTTCCGACTCAAATCCAGAACCTCGATATCCTTGAACACTGACTCGATAAAAGGTTTCCACAGTGGTTTAGGCGTCAAAGTCGAGTTCACCTCCGTCACATACTCATCAGTCATCTTCTGCAGATCCTCCACTAGCATATAGTCATTATCAGTCGGGTCAGCGTCCCATATACTTTCATTATTCTCCAGACGAGACAACTGCAAGTAACACAATCTATAACCAGTCTTCCCAATACAATAAAACGTGCTACTGCTGCTGTACTCACATAATAAAAAGTGCTGCTGAGTTCATAAATGGTCTCCACAACCTCCTTCAACTCGTCCTCCTCAGGAAACGACGCGTTGCTCAAAGAACAAGTATCGAGGGTACCATTATTGACGACCTGTTTAATAATGTCGGACATGTATCTCAACTCTGCTTTCTTCAAAGAGCTCGTCAGTTCGTCCTCCATCTCGTCTTCCAACTTCCGGAAACGTGATCTGATGGAGTGCAGCCGCTTCTCCAGCTCCTTGTCACTGTCAATAATCGAATTATTATGATCGGATTCCACGAAGATGATAGAGTAAATTATACTTGGGCAGTGGACTGCTCGTGATCGGCGTGTCCAATAGCATGATGTTATTACTGGTGTTTCGTGGGTCGGGGATAATGTCGAAACCGAAAAAGATGTCCCTTCCTAGAATTTTTTTCACCCTGGCCATCTGGTCAATGTAATCGGTGGTCTTCTTGGTGAATGCCGCGGGAATCGAGGGTAAATTGAGTTCCTCCAGTAAATCGAACATCGGCGCCAGCCCTAATTCGTCCACGGAGTCTGAAATATTGGTTTTGAGAGTATAGGGTACTTGTGACTATTAAAATTTAGGAGATAATTCTGTAGAAATACCAACGTACGCACGTCCATGCAGCTAGCGAACAATATTTTCGCTTGTGTCACTGCCCAGGGTGCATTGTGGTTCGTGACATTATCCCGTAACAGCTCCCTGATTTTCCTGTACACGCGATCTCTACGCTCCTCGAACCATGAATTTGTTAAGCTGTTGTCCGGTATAGGATGCTCGTCTGGCCATTTTCCACATACGTACCTAAATATTCCACAGTATTTTTCACGATGAAAAAATAACCAGAAGTAGAAGTTTGCAAAGTGCTATAGATAAATGTATCAATACTTACGTATAGAAATCGTCGCAAGGGTCTACAGACGTATCCATAGATTCTTTCAAACTAGCCGCTAAAACAAAAGTTTCTGTCTCTAATCGCACTTAAATGTCTCTAATCGCACTTAAATGTCTCCAACCATACTTAAACGTCTCTACTCACACTCAAATATCTCAAACCTTACTCAAATATCTATAATCCTACTTTTATCCAAATGAGCCTACCTATACGAACGCAGCTCTCCGTTTCGCACAACTTCGTCTGCTTCCTCGTGGCGTCTAAAAAACGCATCCTCAAAATTCATCCTCGAAAAGAATATTAAAAAGCTACGCAAAGATGCTTACACAGTATCGCGAAGAGTAGAGTCATCATCAATAAGAGCGCCATCAAAACAAACATCATAATCACCAACAAATTCGGTACTTGTCTCCGTCTCTTCAAGCTTGAACAAGAAAACGAACGGACGAATCTAATTGCCGGTTGAAGGCAAATTAGCGGCTTCCTCGCCGCTTAATGCATGTAATAATTCGATGTAATGATACCGCGAACCGGAGACAGCCGGCAAACGTCAATCTCCGTTCACTTACCAGGCGTGTCTGGATCTTATCGGTACCAAGTTCTTGTGGCTGGTGACCGTGTAAATCGACTGCGTTTCATCCTCTGCGAAAATCGAGAACAATAGAGACAGCGTATGAAACAATTCTGAGAAATCAAACAATTCTGTTCTTGATTTTATAACGAGACGCACGTGGTGCGTCGTGGTGGTCCTCGCATAAGACGCACCTTGTGCGTCATGAATCTGGGACCCGGTCCCCGAACGAAACGAAGTGACAAAGGGTCATGGAGAGTTAAAAGGTGTATTAGCGGAAGCGGTGAATAAAAAGTATGACTATACTCACTGCGTCGGTTCATGCTGAATGGCCCAGTGACCGGATCGAACTGACGACACTGAACAACCTCGAGGGACAACGGGTCTATCCATACGTTCACATTTTCCTGCTTTGCCAGTGGTTCTCGTTACGTCCATTTTCACCTGCGCTTCCTCGTTACATTCACCCCGGTGTGTTTTCTCCACTCAAGTGTGCGTGGATCGCACACCGTCTCTGCTTATAGCATCGTGAAACGTTAATGCAGTGATGTAGATCTGACAATCGTTTCTATATTGCGCTACAATTTTCCTGCTTCCGGTGATAACACGGTTATACGCGACATTAAGGACGTGAACTTGGACTGAAAAAGGTTGCACTTTTGTCGACTGCGATTCGTGGCGTTAGCACGAGCTGACGTATCGCATAGTTTTGCTGCACGTGCTCATGTAACGCGTGCTTCTCTAATGATGTAATTCTAATCTGGTAACGAGTGAAGGTACGTCTAACGATGCAATACGTTGAAAAACGATATGCGAAATTATAGGCTTTGCTATGCGGAGTCAATCGAACCTTTTACGATGGAATTGGGAAGCGTGAAATTGCAACGCTTGGAATTGCAATGGGTAGAAGTACAACTCGTAAAACAGCAACACATAAAATAGTAACGTCCAACGTTGCAACGGGTCAAATTGCAATGTGTAGAACTACAACGCGTGGAATTGCAATATGCAGCACTATAACGTATTGCATTGCAACTCGAACAACTGCAACAGGCGAAACTGCAATGCGTCGAACTGCAACACATGGAATTGCAATACGTGAAATTACAATACTTAGAATTGGAATGCATGGAATTGCAACGTGTGGAATTGCAAATCGTGGAATTGTAACGAGTGGAATTGCGACTCTTAGAGCTGCAACGCGTGGAACTGCAAATCTTGGAATTGCACCGCGTGGAATTGCAACTCTGAGCGTTGCAACGCGTGGAATTGCGAATCTTGGAATTTTAACGCGTGGAATTGCAACTCTTAGAGTTGCAACGCGTGGAATTGCAAATCTTGGAATTGCAACGCGTGGAATCGCAACGCGCGGAATTGCAGCGTGTGGAATTGCAACTCTTGGAATTCCAATCCTTGGAATTGCGCCGCGCGGAATTGCAACTCCTGGAATTTCAACGCTTGGAATTGCGCCGCGTGGAATTGCAACTCTTGGAATTGCGCCGCGTGGAATTACAGCACGTGGAGTTGCAACTCTTGGACCTGCAGTGCGTCGAACTGTAACGCGTGGAATTGCAACGCGTAGGATTGCAAAGCGTAGGACAATAATGTATGAAATTGCAATATATAAAATTACAGCGCAAAGATTGGCCCATACGGCAATATAACGAGAGAGCTTACAAATCAAACGAATTGATAGTTTTTGTAAAGGTGCATAAAGAAGCGAAGCAAGGAGTGAAAATTAAATCGTGTGATTTGACCTTCCTCATAATCGACTGCACAGTTTATTACTAAAACATTGCACTCCTTTGAACATGATCGATATCGTTGTTTAACGGGATTCTCTCAAGGTTTGCTTCTCATTATAGAAAACGTTCTTCTCGTTGTTTGCATTGAACAGAAGTGACGTAAGGGATGGAATCATTTATCTTGCAGAAGGCGCTTAATGCTAGCAGTTGTGCTAGGTTATGCCCGGACAATTGTAGCGTCATTTTATTACCCGAGGCATATTAGTGACATAACAGCTTCCTCGATTAATTCCGGGGATGTCAAGTTGAGAGAAAGTAGGAACACGTGTTTGATTATTGAATTCATATTTCTATAAGAAACGTTGATTTATCGGGTGATTAGAAACTTCGCTCGAGCCTTATATAATAATAAAAATTATATCAGTAGTGCAGAATTATATTATAAAAATAAGTATAGAAGTTATGTAAAGGTCATATAAAATTACGAAGTTTGAACATTCGTTGTATGTCAAATAGAAGTAGGCTATCAGTAATCAATCGCGATAAGTAGAAGGTCTCTGCGATCGATATTGTTCCCATCTCGAAACAGGATAATCGATGTCCCCCGTAGACAGTGGGTGACATGATTCGATTTGTTATCAGTGTCGTTGAACCTTCCACTCCCATTTACCATAAATTCCACTGGGAAATGAAAAGAATCTCTTCTCAGAAAACTGAAGCAATTTTCTACGTGAAATGATAATTACACTTAACATGTGTCAGGTGCCATTCAATCGGACATATGAAATCGGTAAGGGAAACAGTCGCGAGGAATTCTAGTTCTCAAGAAAATCGCCGCGGGCGACTCCTTCGGGCGTCATTGCAATTCACTGCAATTTTTTGTCCGCTGCAGTTCTCGATTTCTTCGCTAACCTGCCCGAGGCTCGAATCGGTGTCGTTGAAAGGGTGTTTGCAAATTAAGTTCCCGCGGCTAACTTTCAGAAATGAAGTCAACTGCTAAGTATTATAAATTTAGGATAAACTCAAGATCATTCATTTTCTTTTTTCCCTCGAAATTATTTAAATAAAATTCCTTTTGTGAATAACAGGTTTTTTATTTCACGTAGAAAATTAATTTATTTTTTCCCAAGTAATTGTTCTTGTTTTTTGTGCCAGTAATTTTTCTCTAGTTTCCAGAAACCGTTGAAAAAATTTCGTAAAGCGAAAGTAGACGAAGAAATCGAACGATGAAATTTCCCTCGGCGCTAACTGTAACAGTTCTGCGTAGCGAGCGGTTACGCAAGAATCATTAAAATGCATCGGTAACGTAATTAGACGGCGATGCCCTTCCGTAATGTTATCTTTCTCGGTTCAAAATAACCCCAAAAAAACCAAGCAACATAATTTATAGTGTTAATGATTATGCAAGCCTACGAGAGGACGATCGATGATCGCGGAAGACTATCTTGCGTCGATCGCCACGCGATTCAACCATTTTCCGGTTCGTTGTGCGGAAATAGGCAATAATTGTAGAATTTTATTTATGGATCAAATATTCGATCAATTATTGCACGCACCAGCAAACCTCTTATAAAATCATTCAATTAATTTTCGCTCGTTATTATCTAGCCTTTTGCTTCACTTTGTAATTTTGATTCGAGACTGAATTACAAAAGTATACAAAGATGTGGAATATTATTTTTAAAATTATAAATTATTACGCAAGGTAATTGAAAAGATTTGAATCATCGAACGTTATCGAATCCTGAAATTAATTTCCCACACGTTTCCTATTATTCTTTTTTAAGGAGAGTTACTGCATCGAATCTCAGCGTTAGATTTACGATTCCCGCCGCTTTCTCGTTACGTAATTCTAGCCTCCCGAGTTATGTTTTAAATAAAAATTGCGTAACAACGATTGTATGAAAAATTGGAGCGAATCGAACTCTCTTCTCACTCGTCTAAAGAAATCAAAAATCGAGTAACTACTTCCCTGACAGGAAAATAACATTCACAGCTCGATATTCTATTTATAAGAGTACTTATACCTCGCTTCAAGGTTCCCACAAACGACAGAAAAAACATAGCGACACTTCAATAATTGCAGGAACTGCATGACATGCCGATATTCAATGCGATCTATCGATTTTTCATGCAAACAAAACTCGAATTGCCTTCCGGCACGGTGCACTGCGAAAACAACGACAAGGGGGTTGCTCGTTTTTGTTTGGACGATTCGTTACCCTGGCGACATTAGATTGATTTGTATCGTACCGCTATACGTTTAGAAACTCACTGTACGAAAATGACCACCACTTAAAACTATAACATTACTCTTAAACTAAATTTAATTTAATAAAATAGCATTTGAGTTAACATTTGACGAATTAATATTTGATGAGTTTTAACTGGTTAATGAGTTTTAATAGGGTTGAATAGAAAACAAGTGATTTATCACAAGACATAAAAATTAACTTTTATTAGAAAATAAATAAAAGTGTTGTTGCAGAAGTATGATGGGGATGGGTAAGGTAGGGTTGGAACTAGGCGGAAGAAAGAAAGAAGAATATACAATGAAGGCACCGGTAGTCGTCGAATATCACATGCCGCACAATAATTTCATGATCCATTAATCGGGAACAGGGTAGGGAGGTGTAACTATCAAAAAAAGTCGCTGCGCTCGTGTAAACGTGTATCGTGTGTACAAAAAAAGAACAATAAATTTTCTTTTCTTAAAAGTTGGCTGCCTGGTCTGAGGTCTTCGGGTGGTCCAAGAATACTCGCCGATCCTGAGGCTGTTTTTTCAAAGCAACTCGACGTTCTTTCGCCCACGGTTCCTTCCAACTTGGATAATACTGATTTTCAAGTCCCTGAAGAATACTGTTTTTTCCCTTGAAACGAAGAACTCGAGTTGACCCGGCTCCTTCAACTGTATATCGTCCTCAGTTTCCTTCACGCCAAGAGAATTTCGATGTTGGCCATGCTGGTTAGCGGTTGTTCGTAAAGCGTCGTCGCTACTTCCGGATGGATGCACCTCAGGACGGCTCGTCCAGGATGGATCACCCTGGACCAGCGAGTTCAACGGGTGCCGTTACCTTAGTCCCAGGGGTGGTGACTCACTGGAGCCTTGACGATCTTTACGGGTTCCACATAGTGCTCAACACCGATCAGATGGGGCTTCACTATTCCGGGTCCGTGGTACGGGATTTTCACGACGGGTATATGGGGGATCTTAATGTTCAGGGGCTGTGGGTGTGGTGGCGGGATGGCCGGCTGCTGCGGAATCTGGATTGCGTGGATAACTTCCGGAGCGTGCACCTAAGAACACGTTAATCACATTATCTACTGTCACCAGACTCGAACTTAGACCCTAGGTCAAACCTAGAATCTCTGTAAAGTAAACCTTCTCTGACCAGCCGTTTCACAGCCAATTGAACACGGAATCTATAAGAGGTAAAAGCTGGTAGGAAAATGAGCTCGGAAAATTAGAGCAGATTGCAAAACCTAGTTGCACAAGGGACTTGAAATCGCCTGCAGTTTCATCAGAGGGTTCGTCCGGAAGAATTCGGTTTCTCTTTCGAACGGAAAGTTACGTGATATGTAACCATTAAACGAAAATGAGAAATTGATCAAGGGGATCATTGAGCATGATCGAGAAGAAAATCGATGATTTTTTTTACCTGACGATAAGATCAAATATTTTGTTGTTACCTGAGGTACCGATACCTTTACGATGGGAGGTGAAGGTGCACCTTTGTAAGAAGGTGCATGATAAGACACTGGAGCTGGCCAAGGTTCAGGCGCTGGCAACGGCAGCGCAACCTAAGTGTCCCAAAATCACGAATTCAATATCTATGATTTTTAAACGAGAAGTTTGTTACGTTATTTCCCCGAGTGTGTCCAGCTACTCGGTTGTCGAAGAATGTCGAAGTTGTCGAGAAGTCGAACAAGTTTCGGAAGATTATGATAAGTGATAGAAGAATATGTAGAAATGAGTGTATTACTCCTGGTGTGTCCTTTGAAGTCTTTCGTCGATTCAGACTTTCTTGAAGAGTTACACTGATCGTTGTTATGGTAGATCAGAACTTGCATTAAGAGAAATGTTAAAGAAGTTATAAATGTTATTACCATTAAGGTAATAAAGGTTACAAGAACGTTATTGTCAAGTTACGAATGGAATAGAACCATGCTATATTTTAATGTTTCGATACTGTCTTACGTGCAGTTAACTGAAAATGTTTGGTGTAATAATTAGAGAAAGATGCAGTTTTTGGGAACTTACCGGTTCGTGGTACGAGAGGAGGCCGGGATAGGCACTGGCGACGGCCAGGACAGCGAACAAAGCAATCTGAAAAGGAATATTTTTACATACTTAAATTCTATGATCTACATTAAATAAAATGCAAAAACCAAATTTCTTGTTAAAAAAAAATAAGGTGTAACATTTGACATTAGCAATATTTTCTGAAGAATCATATTTTAAATATTATTCAATGCTACAAGTAGTGATGCTATAAGTATCCAATGCTACACAAATATTATCTATAAGTTAACACTAACTGGTTAAGTTAATCTAGCAGTATGAAATAGCAGAACCTAACCAAATGACTTTCTTATTAAAGAAAACTAACGATAGTAACATTTGATATTTAAAATTTTCTGAAGAACCATGTTTCAAGTATTATTCAATGCTGCAAGTAGTGATGCCATAAGTACCCAATGCTACATAAATTATCTATAAATTAATACTAACTAGTTAAGTTAATCTAGCAGTATGAAGTATCAAAACCTAACCAAATGACTTTCTTATTAAAGAAAAATAACGATGGTAACATTTGATATTTAAAATTTTCTGAAGAACAATATTTCAAATATTATTCAATGCTACTAGTAGTGATGCTATAACAAGTACCAAAGCTACATAAATATTATCTATAACTTAATACTAACTAGTCAAGCTACGAAAGTTACTGTATTAACAGTACAAAATATAGTAACATCCAGAACTATTTAACATTCAAGTAAAAAATTGATCAGGCCCTTCAAGAACGCTAAGTCTCGTGTCGAGCAGGGACTAAGAATGATAGAATCGTCCAAAGGCAAACTTACGACGAACTTCATTGTGGGCGATTTTTCTAGTGCAGTACACGGGAAAACACTACGTATCTGAGGGGCGACGCGGTATGCTTTTATAGCGGTGCCCTGCCCAGGCCCAGGGAACAAACATGAGGCGGGGGTACAACGATTGCATTGCATACAGACCCCTTTCACCAATAGCGAGCGACCCTTTCGGACCCCTTATTCGGCGCTCTATAAATTCTAATATCGTTCGTACTTCCGGTAAATGATGACACCCGAAAAAACTTCCTGGACCAATTAAAAATTAGGAAAAATTGATCTGGAATTTCCTAAGTGCGAAAAATTTAAGAACTAAAATTGCAAATGTTCGACGTACGATATCCGGTCATCTCGAAACATGGCAACAGAATTGCACAGCGGAAGATTAAGACTTCCGGCAGAATTGACGTAATCGTTCCTTCACAATTTGTCACTGCTACTTTCCAGAAATATGACTGCAACAAGTCTATTCTGCTGGGAATATTCGAGTTCAATATCGATAACTATCTTTTATAGCGAGATATTCTTTCCATAACTTATTCTTCGATCAGAACACAACTTTCGTAATAAAGAACCAATTAACGCACCGAATTGCGAAAAACCATTGTCGATCTGGCTACTTCCTTTCGCAAGTTGCAAAATTATCGTGAAAAACTCGGGCAACATCATCTGCGATCAAAACATAATTGTTCGTTGCAAAAAAGGTAGGCAGTTTATTGTTCTCCGTTTACGGCGAGCATTGTGTGAAACGTGAAATTAGAACGCAGTTTTTCTAACACGCTGAATTAAATTCGGGAATTAAAAAGTAAAGGATCGAATTGTTCAGTGTCGTAAATTTGGCGGAATTAATTCAGCGTTAAAGGCCAAACTTAAATCTTTAGATTTTGCTGTCACACGAGTTATTTTAAACCCACGGATTTTCCACGTGTATTAAATAATACACGACCCAGAACTAGATGCATTTACGACTTTGCACTCTAGCTCGTTAAATTATCCAGCGTTTACAATGCTTACGAAATTGGCGAGTCGTAAACCCGAAGCTATTAGCGAGGATAATTGGGATAAATAGGGTGGATGAAGATTGAAACAGAATTTTACTTTCTGTCGGAAATACACTTTTTTCGCGAACCAGAATTGCGCAATATTCCCCAGATCAAAAACACGTACGAAGAATTTTCGCCTAACCGGCTGTCACAACGAGAGAACCAATTTGGCAATACCAATGATCCTTTCTTACTTCGATCTCATTAACGTTCACCGTCGATAATAAATGAGGTTCGAAGAAAAAAACTCCGAACGATATTACGACAAATGTATGTACATGAAATAAATCCTCGTTAATGGACCACATTTTTTGCATCGTTTTATCATATAGGGGATGATTGGTCCGAAGAGACTACGTTCTCCTAGATGATCTTCAGCGAAGGTTGCAACAATTCGCTAAGTTTCCACCTTGGCACGATTTCTGTAATGCGACTTTTCTCGCTACCTTTGGCCTGAAGGATCTCCTTTTCGAGAAAACCCGCCGCCCTTTACATGGGAGTACGTTGGCCAATCTTCTTGACCCGTTGCTTCGCGAAGATTCGTTATTCCAAACGTTCGTTTAAGGTCCCAGCGAAAAAGGAATTATCTTAACAGCTCCTGAACAGATGTAGGACCTTGTGATTTAATACCTGAGAGAACTTTAGGACCTGTGAGCTAGAATCTTAGTTACCAGAACTTAGGTTGCTGCTTTTACTTCTCTAAGATTCTAGGTCCTATGTAATAGAAATTTTGGACCTAAGGACGTAGAACTGTAAATTCGTAGTTCATACGAATTCAGCTCGCGAATTTTTCAGGGTTTCTTCTAGTGATCCATCTAGGAATGGTTTTTTTGACTGATTGGCAATTATACCGGAACGGTCGACCAGTCACCACTTGCTTGCGCAATCCCGAGCGTGTTACACTCGTTGTTTCTGATCGCGTACAACCGAGAAACAACCAACCCTGCACGGATGTTAACTTGCTGAGACTTCTTGCAAAACCTGGAAAGTTTAACGATCCCGATTATTCGAGCGCTGTTTCGGCACGGTGGAACTAAAAATGGAATATTCGGCGGTTTATGGTTCCGTGAACATTTTATGCTCAGTGATCATTTTGCAACGTAGCTTATTGGTTACCCTTTCGTTTCTAGGGAATTTGTCTAAAATTTGTAATGAATGAAACTCACCGAAGATCGTATCTGCAAGATGGAATGTCTGTAATTAGCTCCATTAGAGAGATTACAATATTTGATTTTATAATTTTGTAGCGAGGGAAATGGATTCGAGTAAATGCATCAATCCCTGAGAAATTATCCGTTTAACGATCCGAGACGTCATTATCTCCCACTTCCTGATCGGCAAGCATTAACCATCGATCGTTCTCCATTTGTAAACGCCGCGAACAAAGTAACTTGAAAATGAATTCACCGCAGTCTGAATCGAGTTCAATCGCTTGCTAATGAGCCAGACTAACGTAACGCGCTTTACCTGAGTCTCTTTCCATTACGGTTTCCTTTATTCGGATAAAAATCCAGAAATCTTCCGCAACCAGGTCGACGACCATCGCTGATGATCGATCAGCCGGAGAAAACCGACAGTCATCCGAAAGATGTTTCGATTAAGTAATAACTTATTTGTCAGGAGAAAATGTGAAGCAGATTTTTGACACAAAAATGAAACTCGGAGAAATTAAAATTAATAACACAATAAAAGGGCCAAGTTCACGCTTCGTCGAACGAGCAGAAATTCGAAATCTTCCCGTGATTCACCGGTCATCGTTGCAGTCCAAGGCATGAAGGAAGCATTAAGCAACATTTTCAGATAGAATCGCGAACTTGGATCACGAATCAAGTCAAAAGTTTCGGTCATCCAGATTATCTGATCTACCAACGTTTCCTGCCTTTCTCACCTATCAATCTTCAGAATGAAAACATTAAACGTGAATCTGATAGCTTGAATTAGCGAATGACACGGTTATACAATACGTAATCTCCTTTTCTTTTTAATTATAGTATGTTCTTGCGAGGATGGAAAAACATGAATCATAGTTCGATCGCGGTGCGCAATAGAAGTTTGCACCTCCCCGAACACGTGAAATATCAATTTACTCGGAACTTCTTGCCAAAGTGAACGTTCCTAAAACTCTCCGTAACAATTAAGGAACGCTGGTGAAATCGAACAATAAACGGTAATCAAGCTCGTGTAACACGCTCGAAAAAGCGAACAGACGTTACATTAAAGGTTACACTGCGTAAATCACTCGAACTGTAACAGATTTGCATAGATCGATCGAGCAGGTGCCGTTTATTAGCGTCGTGAGTGGTGAGTCTTGTAGCAACTATTGGCTAACGTTACAAATTGCGGCATATTAGTTACAAAATGTAGCAAAATTTGATTGAAATATTCGTCAGCCTATTCAATTAGCTACACTCTAACTTTTTACTTAATATATACTTAATTCCGGCATCGTAGAGTAAATTATTTATGGAGCGGAGGATTCTGTTTAAAATAAAATTCCGCAGAAAAATTACATAACACTGACACGTTTGAATCGTTATGCCGAAGTTTAGGTTTCCAATGCATTCCGCGAGCATTTTCCAGTTCTCCAGATTGCTGAATTTGTCCTCGTGTACCTCGATCGTTCCCCGATCAACGAATGGCAGAATGTGATTTCTTGCTGCTTAGGTGATCGTATTTCTTGACGTTAGACATTTTGTAGCAACGTACCGGGTGGCCTGGATTATTACAAGAAAATCTTAACACGTACATTCAAGACCATATACAACATATTTGAATTTACTATTTCGCATATTTGCCCAAAAAATTTATCTCATGTTCACCCCATTAATTCAAGTTTAACTAATTTACCAGTTCATTCGTTTCATATGCCACGCTTTTATTACCGCACACCCGTTCCAAATGAAGATAATTGAATAAGAGCTTCGCCTATCAGAGATTTCGTGGCAATTAGAAGTGTTAAATGGCCTAAACAGGGTCCGACAAAAAAGGTAAGTTGTCCAGAATGCAGGTGGCAGATGATCGCGAAATTAAGCTCGGTGATCGGATTTTCTGTGGCCAACACTCGCCAAGTGCTCCAGATACGTTAGCCAAGGATGGCGATTGCAACAATCTCGGTGCTGGTGCCCCCGGGGCAACATGGATTCCCATATCTGCGGGCACTGACCACGCCAACGAGCTTAGAAAGTAAAGTTCCATGCGTCGGACTACGCCATCGGCTATTACTTGTTTAATTATTTAATTATACCGCGGTGGCGGTAACCGAGTTACGCAGAACAACCCTTATCATAACTGAACTCATGAGACTTTGTTATATACTTCTATAGAGTTCACCTAAAATTTATCTAATTTTATCCAAATTATCCATGTCCATATTATATCATATTTATATCATAATCCATACCATGTCACATTACATTATCCATATTATATCACATTATATTATCCATACTATATTTATGTATATCCAACATTTAATGAAATGCAAATAATACTAATGTAATACACTTGCTACACAAAGTAACAGGCAGGAAATTGAAAAGACTGAACGTCAGTATTGTGAATAATTGCGACTTTAATGTGCCTTACCACACACGTCCTTTTTCACCGTGGCAAGGATACGGATCGTTAGTTTTCAGATTTATACTTTCAGTACCTTACTTCATTTGTACGACACTAATACTGTTTGATATTCCGTTCGCTAATTATTCCATTACATTTGAGTTCAATGTCTCATACTAAATTCATAAATATATAAATAAATTGTCCCTTCAAGCATCCATGTCTGTGACTTAAAATCGCAAGTATCCCTGCGACCACTATTTTGAGACATCCATACGAAATTGTACATACTCTCAAGCATCCATTTCTTAACCTCAAAATCGCAAGTATAAATTAGTATCGCTGCGACCACTATTTTGAGACGTCCATACTAAATTGTACATACTCTCAAGCATCCATTTCTTAACCCCAAAATCGCAAGTATAAATTCGTATCATTTTGAACTTGAAAGAAGGTATGAATTTGAAGAAACTCGTACGCAATATACGCCGGCAATAAGTTCGTACACGAAGTTCACGCACACGACGCAGCCATTACCTAGAAACGAGAAAGTTAGTTGGAAAAATGGTAGGGAAACAGAAGAAGGCGAAAGTTGTTACATATTGTAATGAAGAACAACAATAAAGTCATTAAACGGAGCGTTCGTTTATCAGATAAATTAACACAGTAATCTCGTTTCGTAACGCTGAGTGATTCTATTTTGTAATCTTATATGGTTGCACCTGAGCAGCAACGAAGAAACATAATGTCTGCTTGTAAGCAGATCGAGGTCAAGTTAATCCTATGGATCGTTACTCATCCATGGGATTCTTTATCAACTGAAACAAAAAAAAGCCGTGACCAATGGAAGCATAACGTGGAACGTTGTGGAAGGAATTGTCGTAACGTTATTTCATCTGGTTCTAGAGCCGCGGGCAATGACTTTGAGAACGACAAACTTGGAATCGAGGCTTCCAACGAGCTTCGACACTTTTAGCTGAAAGATCTAACGTACCCTTCACTCTACGAGCTTGTTTTTGTCGTCTCTGTAACTGGCTCTCGTTTAATATACTTAACAGGTTTATGTTCATCACGTTGACTGCCTGCGGAATCAATTCAATTTACTCGGTAAAAAAGAAAATTTTGTATACTTAACTTTGATATCCTTAATCTGGTATTTTATCATGCGTGTGCGCATCACGTTTTTATCGTGTTTTTGTAATTTATCTATCGACGTACTTCGTTCGAGGAATTCAAGGTTTCAGACAATGAATCTGCAAAAATCCATGAAGGGATAATGATTAGAGCGAAATTGAGACATGTCACGAAACCCGACATTTCTTCAGACCGATTTTAAATTCACGACAGCTGCGATTACGAAATGATGATACAGGCGACGCATCTGTTCATTAAAGTTCACGTGGTAACGTAACAACCTATGTAAAAACTTGGCTGATTTTCTACGGAAGTTCTACAAAATCTATCGAGTGTTCCGGTAAGACGAGTACACCGAATTACCGATACAAACTGCGTGCATGAACTTTCATCGCGAAAGCGTGGCGATATAGAAAAGTATTGCATCCCGGAAGAAAATATGCGCCGATTACCGCAACCGGGAATCAGTGCCTCGTAAAATCTTGTATTAAACAGTTCATAACTGAATTACATCGTTTCCCACTTTGTATAGCGAGAAAATCTCTCTGCTACGCAACTGGCATATCGAGTTACGCTCATTTTCGAACGATTATCAATTCGATACTTGTGCACTTCCTATATTTCCACATATGATCTTTGTAAGCCACTAAAATTCAAAAGTCTCAAAGTAGTATTTTATTTGCATTATGCATAAGGTATTGCACTGATATTTAAATCATAGAATTGTTATATAATCCTTCCTACAAAAAGTGCACATTTTTCTGTCAGTTCTACTTCAGTGAAGCTACATATTGCTTCGGTTGACCGAGGAATAATAATTTTTAGAAAGGATGCTTCTGAAAAATTCTATTTCCGAAATTTCGAAAATTTATGATAATTTATTTTTGGGAATATTTGACATAATTCTTAAAAAAAACTTTTTGTATCATTTACTTAATGTTATCCTTGAGATTTATACCACTTTCAATATTTAATTTCATTTGCAATCGTATTTCGTTTCAAAAATAATTTCAATGTAACTCCTTCGCAGTGCGTTAGAGAGCGCTTAGATCGATCACTATTGCTGTTTATTTCAAATGGCCGCCACGTTAAAAAGCAATATTGTGATCGCGGGAAAAAATATCCTATTTTATATTTTTCCGTGAAAATTCGAAATTCTAACAAGTTTAGGTGTGTAAAATTAGTGGTATGCTGTCGCTAGACAGTAATGGAACTCTTCAGGATGAGGTAAATCAATCGTAGTATTGATTTCAATATTTTCTCAGAAATATATGCTTTGAATTTTAGGTTATGTTGTTTGCCGTTCTGTTACCCTTTTCTCCTTTGTTTTTAAGGATAAAATTATACGTTTACACATTTCTGTCAGTACTGCAAAGAAACAACTCAATCATCAATATTTAAACCTTATTTTTTATATTTTTTAATTCTTCTCATTGTTCGAAATAAATTTCTTGTTGACGTTTACGTTCTGTCAAATATAAAAATGTTTCTAATCATTTGCCTTTGTATGTTCTTTGATTAATTGCAGTATGAAATTAAAATAAATATATTCTTGCAGGAAACCGCTAGTGAAAATGGATCTGATGATTATCCAAGAATACCTATTTCTATGGATGGGCCAAAAGAATGGACTTATACGATGAGAAGACATATGCAGGTATATTTTAGGTGTATAATTAAAAGGAACATTTAAACTAATAATTTTATTTTGTCTTAGGAAGTTGTACCTGGTTTATATCTTGGCCCATACAGTGCAGCTAGTCGGTCCAAACTTCAATCTCTAATAGAACATGGCATAACTCATATAGTGTGTGTTAGACAGGATATAGAAGCAAATTTTATAAAGCCCAATTTTCCAGATAAATTCAAGTACAAAATATCAATACTTATTTTATGTAGTTTAATGTCTAGATAAAATACTAATAAACAATGTTATAGGTATCTTGTCTTAAATATTGCTGACACAGCCACAGAGAATATTATTCAACACTTCCATAAGGTAAAATCCTTCATCGATGAAGGTTTAACCTCTGGTGGCCATGTTTTAGTCCATGGCAATGCAGGCATATCAAGATCGGCAGCATTGGTTTTAGCATATGTTATGGAAACATATGGACTCTCTCAGACGTAAATTTCTGTGTTATTGAAAGTATTATATCATGTTTTATTTAAAGATTATGTTTATTGGAATTTAATTCTTTCTACAGGCGTGCATATGCAATGGTACAACAAAGAAGGTTATGTATAAACCCTAATAGAGGTTTTATGGCACAGTTAAGAGAATATGAACCTATTTATCAGGCTCAAAAAATATTAAATAATGAACAACAATGTTCAATAAGACAACGAAGCAAAAGGACTATCCATCAAATGGATTCTGAACGAACAGAGGACAAATGTGATACAATGGATAGTTGATGTAACTCAAAAGAATGCTAAACTTACCAAAAGACTTATCCTAGACCAGATACAGAAATAAAATCGACGGAAAGTAACGGTCTTTACGTCGTCATGTTCTGAAAGATACCTAAATACAGAAGTATATTAAAAAATCAGATGTTATGCTATTTAATTTTTAATATAGTATGTAAAAATGAAAAATTTATTACATGTATTAGCTGAACTAATTGTTTATTTGGACGAACAAGATATAGCTTTTAAACTTTTGTCTATATTTAAAACTATGATGTGCACTAATTTATAGTAGCTAATAAATTATAAACAACTTTTACAAGGTAAGCGAAAACGTTAATTTTATTGTTTATTTATTAAGTATTTTTTCTCGTTTACAACTGAGAGGATTATATTTTTTAAGTTCACATTATTTATTGCTGTAAAATAATTTCCTACATTTTATTTTTGCAAGTGTATTACTCCTCATAAAAATTGTACGAATTTCTTGTATATTTTGTAAATTAAGATAATCCAAATTATGAAGCGTAATAAGTAAAATTTTTTAATACCAAATTTTTGTATTTATTTCATACAGCTATTGTAGAATACATAGATTCGTGACAAATCTTCATACAATAAATGTTACTTTAATACTACCTATTTAATTTTTGCTGGTATCAGCAAACAAATAATGGTTTCATTGTCTTCGTCTCTCAATTCCCATTTCACGGTGACGGACAGCTAAAATTAATTCGCTCATATGATTACGAATGTCGTTACAGTGACGCATAACATACAATGACTAATACAAAATACCTTAGGATAAGATTTATGCACTGCTAACATATTTTTATATTTGTATGGGCCACCCTTGGCTAAAGGACATGTAAGTCCTGAAGTAGAATCTGCGCAAGCGTCTGCATTAGGCAACGGAAAAGGTATAGGAACATCCATTATAATACCATGCACAATTGCAGTAACTTTCGAAACATCCTTATCTACACAAAATAATATAGTTTTCATTTATGCCTTACAATAAAAAAACGGTGAATAAAACCCATATTTACCAACTGTGAAATCGATAGTAATTGTTACGTTCGTATTCTGTATTAATTCGCATTCACTTTTAGCCATATCACAGTCCAATTTAATGGATGTAAACTTTCCCACCTTCGAGCCTGTGCAGAAGAAAAAGATTGACGCAAATAAAAAAATCGAGAAAAACATGATAATGTAAAATAATATTTTCAATAATTTCATCCTAATTTAGATAACATTCTCCTGAAACTTTCCGTACAAAAAAAATGTTTTCAAATGTAAAATAAAATTTCGGCTACTGTAATTATGTATATACGATTTATTTTATGACAGACAATCAACATAGTATTAAATTATTATAATTTTACGCAAATTGTAAGTTTATAATAATTCAACGTAATTTAAAGAAAGTACGAATGTCAGTTGTTATCTGTTGACGAATTCTCATGCGTGTTCGTGAGATACTCATTACAATATCTTCACGCGCAGTATCAAACAAAAGAAATTGTCTTCTGATTAACACAATCAACAACGCTCAAAGTTCTCATAAAAATGTAACCGAATTGTTTTTTATAAGACAATAAAAACATTTGAAATTCATACTCTTACCGACCCTTAAAATTCTTTTGGTAAAAGTACTAAATACTTCTATGTTCTAACATTTAGGTACTAATATTATTAACACTTGTGATATATTTTTTTATGTTAAATATATTTAAAAAAATATTTAAAACTCACCGCAATCATCGATTTCAAAGGCCCGACACGTTAAGCACAAGTATAAGGAAAGAACAGCAGCGATCATTCGATACATGTTGTTTGGTCGGTGTCTGCGCGGTTATTACAGGCTGTTAAAGTATACGAAGCTCTATATTGAAATAAATATTGGGCAGCTACTCTTGATATACACCGCGGCTGTTACGCCATTGCTAAATTACGTGTCTTAACGCGTTACGTACGAAATTAATATCAACTTGCTTCACGAATGCACTCCTATCTTGTGTACAATTTTGAATACGTGCAGACGAAGTATAATTTTCGCTTTAACTTATCATTAACGTGTCAAAGCAAAATTTCGAAGCAACAAAGATCTATTACATCGTGTCTGACTATTCTTTGCGGAAAAAAACAAAACACTATACTCGCATATGTGACGTGAATGTGCCAAAATCTTAACTTTGTTCACATTTACATATTTACTGATAGGGGATACTAAATCTATTTTTAGATTAAACTTAGTACTTGTTAATTTCTTTGATATTTGTTGTGCAATGACGACTTTTAAAACTGTGGTCGATATAGTTGGCTGTCGATATATTACCGTGTGCTGATATATTTTTTGGGGGATTTTCTATATTGCCTACTGTTAATATATTATCCACTGTTGGATAGTGGTTGATAGATTATTTTTTAATTCTTGCTTTTATGGCTAGAGTATCTCTACACTAACAGATGAGTCATAGCATGTCACTTCTTAAAGCATTATGGGTATTAAAATCTACGTGCGACTATGTGATTACACTGTTAAGAACAATGAATAATTTACAATAAAATTGCAAGTTCCACAACAAGCATAAACTCCATAATGCAATTTAAGTCCGCTGCGTCTTTCGAGTCATGGAGGAATCCCTTTGTCCACTTTCCATTGTTTTCCATTTTCCATGATGAACCTAAAAAACCTTCAGTTTCTTTTCACTGCCTCAATTTATGCAGACAATCACTTCACCTTATAATTATTCTAAACGTTTAATCTTTACGACAGGGAACGGAACCGGACGATACCGTTTGGTTCGATTAATTAACAACTCATTAGAGTCCTCGATTTGGGTCAGAATAGCAATGAACGGAAGGGTCCTACGTAAGTCGGTATGAATATTCGGTTATTGGTATCAAGGATGACGAAGCGGAAAAAGGAAGCTTGGAAATATTAAAATCGATGGGAAATAACAGTTAATTATCCATACTTTAGATGGTGCCAAAGAGGTACCATTTGGGTAGCTATCAGAAATCATGCGAAATGAGTTTGATACAAAAACTCGAACACTCAGATGAATCACACGTTTATCATTTTTTAGCATAAAAGGAAATGAATGGATTCATCGGTAAAAAATGGCAAATCCGTGCAACCTCTCCCTAAAACTCCGTCCACATACCTGATCTTTACAAAATGTGGTGCTTCTTGAGCACGAATAATGCATAAAGGATACCCGGACGGCATTCGTATGAAGTCGGATGATGAAAACTGAATATAAAACCATCCGACCAAAATGAAGCAACAGTTTGTTAAAGGAGTTAATTTATCGATCTTCCCCATCGGTCAATCGTGTCTTACGATCGAGTATGCCGGTCGTCGTTCGCTTATTTGTCGCGAAATGAGCAAAGTCTCGGTTCTCAGGCGGTAAGATGGCTCCTGTTTTCGTGAACAGCCGCACGCATCGAATCAAGATGAAGACCATGTCGAGTTACACGTGCTGCGCAGTGGCATACTGAATCGGACACGTCCGTCTGCTCACGTGCGGCAACTGTCGAAACGTGAGACAATCGTATCGTTTCTGCGGTGGATTCGATTCTCTTGATCATCCGAGTACCGAGCTTCTATCGCGAAAATAGCGAACTCATGCTTATTCGATCGAAATTTAATGTCGGTTCAGAGAAATCGCACCTTGACCAGTTTCTGGGAAGAAATTTTGCTAACAGAGGCACGTATGGGACGTTTTTTGTTGATTTTCTAATCCACGGTCCGGATACAGTGGATGATCTACGATTCAATAGAAATACCTCCGGGGTGGAGGCACGTGGATGTTTAATTCAAGATCGTTTCTTAGAATGATTCTGACCGTGCAAATTTTACGCGCCTCACGGTCGTCGAACGGATGCAGTAATTCTGTAAAAATTACTCGTAAAAAACGCCACGCGGCAGAAATATCTTCCACACGCGTCACTGATTTGACGTACACATCGCTGGTTTCCGGTATATGTTTCATTTCTTCTCGCTTTCTTTCGTCGAATCATTTTCTCTAAGCACAAGATAGATCCTGGACACGTGTTGTCGCGATTCCTATTTGAACACCAATCACGAAGAGCAAACAGGTAAGTCCAGGTGGATGGGTTGAAAGACCGCGTTACATCTCGCCAGTGGATTGCGTTCATCTTGCAAATTTCCAAGATAAAACGCAGGAGACAGGTGTTTTGTATCGTATACTAGCTGTAACGTGTATCCTGCTAGACGCGTATCCTGTTCAATGGCGTGGATGAGGATCCTCCGCTGAATTAACAATAAGCAGTGCTCGCTATTCCTTACGCTGTGAGAATAGGAAGATGCGGTAAATAACTCTCTCATTACAATCATTTTTATCGGCAATTTTCTATTATACTGATTGTTTTAGAATTTAAGACTAACATGCTAACATTTACTGTCAACCATCAGTCCACAGTAATGGATTCTATGGAATCCGACCTTTCATATTAATTTACAAGCTTCTTTATTTGACAAGTTCCTTTATTTTACAAGCTTTGAAAGAAGGTAGTCTTCAATTTGTTGTAAGTGGACATAAACCTCCCTCGCCATTTCGATCTCCTTTTTACTGCAGTGATCTGATCAGCAGTCAGAAGGATCCCAGGCAGGCAGGAATTTACAGTCATGGTTTTCCAGGGAAGACATAAAATAGTCGCAGGTGTATAGTCGGCCGACATAAACGGCCGCAAGGCTACGAATTCTGCATCCCGATTGCGAAACAAGATCTGCCCGTAGACGCACCTGCTTGTCTTGCGTCAGCTATCGATGCGGACTCGTTGGAAATCGATCAGACGTATCCTTATTCGTGGCTACGTGACCACATTTCCGGATCGTGATTCGGCGATTGTTTGGACAGGAAGTCCCTGAAGATTTTGATTTACGTCTAAATCAAACCGTAGGCCATGATTGCTAATTCGCAGAACAACCAGAACGGCTGGACAACAGATTTTATTCATGCAAGGGAGGAATCTCGTATTCCGCGTTTCATGCATGGCTAGCACTATATATTTTATGGTGGATCCGTGGACGGACTCGTAAACGAACGCTGATGCAACTAAGTGTTCATCATGCTTTTGATTTGACATTACCGTGTTATCAATATCCGTGAGGACGTTGATTTACGGTTACAAGCTCGCATGATCGTCTGACTGGCGCCAACAACGGGGTCGTAAACAATACGTTCGTTCTAGACATTTCATTTTACGTCAACTTGGATGAGCAATCCCTAAGATAGCAAATTTCAAAGACCTTGTTCAAACCTACCCATCGATCACATAGCTACTAACCTATCTAAATCTAAACTAACTCTTTAACCATATGAGAGATGACTCACAGTCACCATTCTATTTAATACAATAATTTTAAATAAGCATTTTTAACTGATTTTATAACACGACAGGTGTGATGTATAAACATAGTGAAACAAACTTTTTAACTAAGTTTTAAAGTTGCTGTTTGTAAACAGTCAAATTACCTTCAAGTGCAAAGGGTTAATTAAATCTAAATCTTGTCGAGTCGAACGAGAATTCGGAGTAATTTTAAGCATCGAGAAACGCGAGCATCCGTGCAGGGCAAAAGGGTTAAAGGTTGAAGGGAGAAGTCGTGGGAGCGGTTGAAATATTCGACGGTTTCGTTCGAAATCGCGAGGAGAAGAAAAGAAACAAAAGGGGTCTACATGCGAGAGAGAAAGGACTCCCCTAAGGTTTTTGGACGTGCGTGTCACGTGCCAGCGGCTGAGTCACGTGACTCGCGGCGCGGTAGATCTGCGCGGTGCATCATCGCATGAAGATCGCGATGGCGGCTACCTTTTGAACACGGCCTGCCATATTTCAGCGCAGCCGATTTTTTCAGTTCGCTAACGGACACGGAATGCCTGACAATTCGCTTGCGCATCGGGGAATCGTGACGGACGCGATGTTGACTGTAAAGGGTGCATTCGTAACGAGCGTCATTTGAAATTTCAAACGAGACGCTCGCGCCATTTTTCAATCACGAACTTCGCGAACTATATTCTCGAATTTTGCTGTTAACTAGATTCAATTCTAAATAATTTTTCTATCGTCCGGTTCTATTGAAATATTTTACGGACGTTTATTTTTTAAATGTTTTCTGGGAGGAAATTTTTTTTGGTTGAAGGGATAGATTAAGTTTTGTACTAGCTTTTTGTAGAGAATGATTTGGTAGAAATGAAATATTGATTGCTGTGACACAGAAAATTTTTATTATCCTTTTTGTTACATGAGCCATGGTCCGAAAGTGGGTCGAAAGGTATGGTCGGAATGGGTGTGTGAGGATCGTGCGGTTGTCCCCGGAGTGAATTTTTCATCGTTTCCGAGATTTCAATAGGTATCCCGCGACGTCCATATCGAAATACCTGAAACAAATAAATTTCCTTGACACTCCGCACAAACTCTACTTACCCATATCTTCTGTCACCTCACCTTTTGTCTAAATTTGAAATTTCACGTTTCGTTTGACTTTTTTGAGACGCGTTGGAAACGAGCCTCGCTGCGATTGCAGTGGATTTTTCAGGAGGGCTGGTGGTGAGCGAAGGTATGTTCGACAATCGTTTACCCTGACGGTTTTCCTTGGACTTCCTTCTAACGTTCAGATCCGATGACACCACAATTTCGTCAAAAGTTTGTCCAAAAACATCTGAAAATAACATTTCATACTGTCGTTAAGCAGTTGTCCTTCGCTTTCTATATTCACTTACATAATGCAAGTGAAAGAGAAAGAAGTGAAACTTTATCGTTGTGTAAAACAATAAGGACAATGCAACGGTGTAAAATGAATCATGGGATCATGGTTGCACGTGAGACCACAATAAGCAGCGTTAACTTACATCGTTCAGTAAGAAGACACGTTCATGACTCTCCGATTAATTATTCATTCGTTCACAAGTTTTACTTACGTTTCTGATCCGATGTTTGTTGAGCGTTGACGATCACGCAGGCGAGGGTGATCACCAACAGGGCCAAGAAGTTGGTCATTGTCGGGAAATTCCTTCGGTTTGAGTCTGTTTTGAAGAGAAGGCCGAAATTTTGTTTTACCTGAAAGTAAGCGGACAAAATTAGAGTAATTGTGAAAGTACATGAAATTGACACACCTACGGACTGGAGTACCTTTTACCTATTGTAGACACATATCAGTCACCGTGAATATAAGACAAAATGTAACTTTGTAATGACTTTACAACTGGTAATAATGATAGCAATCATTTGACATTTAAGTGTCAGTTCACATTAAAATTCTTCAAGAAAAAGGAATTTGACAAATGTCACTTGATCAGCCAACACCTTACCATAGGAACGCCTCGACATCGTGCAATGTAAAGAGTAGAGTTCAACATGAGATAAAAAACGAAAAGATAGAATTTGAAAACTGTGTCCTTCGAGACCAGACTTTTCACTGTGACACATGCTTCTCACTCGATCCAGATCACATACCAAAAAAGAACTCGAGTAAAGTATAAACCAAAGCACGATAACGAAACGAAAGGTAAAAAAGATGTTCCAAAGGATGAAATGGATGGAAGTACACCAACTGTTCGACTTACCGACGACTTAGCCAGAAGATACTTTCCGAGTCGACAACCGCACGAGAAATGCGAGCACAATGCCGCGGAAGCCTTCAAGAGAGCATCGAAGATTTGCTATAGTACGTGGTGAACAGGAACAGGTCGGGGGTAAGGGTCCAAGAGGAGGCGCCTCGACGACGTTCACGTACTGTAGATCGTTGCACCGGACAGACCACTTTCTATTTCATTTTTTCTTCCCCTTCTCGTTCTCGCTCCTATATAGGATCTGGACTTTATGTTCAAATGGACCCGGAGGACTGGTCCATTGCTCAGGACGAGACTTCTTTGCGTGTCCAGTCACGACTAAACAATACTTAACGATACCGGAGGACGGACCTTTAACGAACCCCCTTTAACCCCCGTCACAGTCGAATAAAATTCAAAGTATCTACGTTTGCACATTCCACGAGTGGAACTACGTTTTGGGACCAGGACTGAATGCTCACAGTATTTTTATAAAATTTCGCTTGTACACTGAAATTCTACAAACAGCAATTTTTATTGTACACTTCTAAATTTCAGAACTCGTAAAAATACAAATAAATCTTTATTGTAAAATTCGCGTAATTACAAATGATCTATAAGTTACATGTTGATTAAATTAGCATACAGGATGAATATGAACGAAAATATCGCGTGTACTCTCGCGGTCCCGGTCATTGAACGCTGCTCTTCGCGTCCCGATTTTTCGCTGCTCGTTTTGTTGCAGGACCTCCTCCTTTTGGCCTCCCTTTGTGCTGTTAATCCCCGAACCCTCTGTTTCGATCCTCCTCCATCCTTGCGCGGTCCTCGTTCCTCCCGTTTCGCGATATTTTGTTCGGTTTTATTCGCGGGAACATCTGGTGGTTGGCGTGGTAGCGCGGACAAAGGAGAACTGGCTCTCCCAGGAAATCTCGAGGAAGGAGGGTGGTTTTGGTCTGCTCCACGCCCGTTCGGGCTATTTACTTATACCTAGTGACGTAGAATGTTTGTAAACAATGGATGGCCCGTGGATGGCCGAGGTTGAGCATGCCCGATGGAATTACATCGGAGTCAGGGGTTGATTTATGACCTACGGAAAATACCAATCAATTTTCACTCGGGTTATAACTGTTGCATTGTTCGGGGAGATAATACAAAGGTAATTTCGTGATTGTGCAAAAAGAAAGATAGGAAAATTGTAATCACAAGATCCTTTGAAAACAGTGGAACAAAAGTTTGAAAGTACCTCGATGATTTTTGTAAAATGTCCGAAATTGAAGGTGAACGAACTGAAGAAATTAAAAGGATAAAAAGGTGTGACGTAATCGCAACACGTCTTTTCACTTCTGTCGGTGTCACGTAGCGCGATATACCGCTAACGAGAACAAGAAACATCTGTCCGAGCTGGTCCATGTTCGAGGATGCAACAATCTTGGTATCGTGTCACTTTTGTCGAGTGTCTTGGAGACATCTCGTTGTCTCTCTTAGCTCGTACGAGGCAGTCGTCTCGACAGAGACGTATGCTTTGCCTACGCGTTGATTATTCAAATGTGTGTGGGACCTGTGCGAAAAAAAGCGAACGTCGTAAACGCCCGAGCCGCTCGCATTGTCCCATTGAGCCGAGATCCTTTTGGGGTACGTGTGAAAAAGAATGGACAAAGGGAAAATGAATCTTCTTGGTTCTCAGGCGATCGGCAGACGGCCAGACGGACGGATTAACTCGTTTTAAAAGGACCCTTGGACGCCATATTGCCAGTGGCCGAAGAGAGGAACGACCGCTGTACGCTTCTTCGATCCTGGCGAGACCGGTCTGTTTTCATCCCGAAATGCGCCTACACCGCGCAACATTCGATTTTAAATCGACTCGTTTCTAACATATACACAATTCTAATTAAATTTACTACTTCATTTTTTAGTGGAATTTACACTATGCGATATAATAATAATTTTCGGATACTTTGACAATTTTGAGGGTACATTTAAAATTTGAAGGACATAGGGTACATTTGACCAGGGCCTTTAACAGCAAGTATTTTGAATTATTTCTTAGGTCGAGGTTGAATGGAATATTCCGCTGCTTTAACAAACTCTAATCTCAATGTCAAGATCTTTGAACGTAAATATTTTATAAATTCACTCAGCGACTCAAATTATGGCGTACGTGATTGATGTGTGACTTTAATGAAGTAAATACTTAATAGTCTTTCCTCCGGAAATTGAGACTTAACTGATTAGTTATTCATGAATTTTGTCGGTAAAACTTTTGAAACCACCTGTAGTTACCCTCCAGAGACGGGTTTTTTGCTTGACAACCAGCAATTTCAAGCCATTCTTCCTTTTGCAACGGTCTGACAGTGGTTCAACGAGAATCGTCATGATTATTTTGTTTTTCTAACTCCTTAAAGAATCGATATCAATGAAAAAAATTAACATCAAAACAGTTTGAATCTCCATAGAATATTAATGAAAAAAAATTATCAGTAAAAAGTTTGAAGAAATTGAAGCTCCATGGAAAGGAGAATCGATTGTATAGTTGACAATTGCATCACGAATCGTTAAAGTTGCATCAATCGTACAGATATACGATCCTGTAGAAGCGAATAAATCCCTGTATGTAAATGATTTCGAGTCTCCCTTTCAAGGGTCACTGTGCGAGGGTCAAAGGTCACAAGTGATTCCACAGTGTGTACACTTATTCATGCACGGTATACAGACGGGTGAATGCAGATTTTAGATTAGGCCTCGTGAAAGCAACGTTGGTTGCAACATAGACTGCATTTAAACTCGATTCGACTTCATTTTCGAGTCGATTTTCGACATTAGTCATATTTATGCAAAATAGGACTTGGGGTTCTAAATCTTGCGATAATTGAAAGAGTCTTTACACTGTATTGGAAGGGCATTCATTCTGAAAGCTATTGTGTTTTTGATACCTGGTTACTTTGAACAATTGAAGGTAGAAACAATTGAGCTTAGAAGCATTAGGTCCTATCGTAGATCAGGAAATGAGGATCAGTTTATGGTCAAGGGCTTTGTCTACAATTTTATGAGTATCGTCGAATGAGTTAGCTAAAACTCGAAGAGTCCGAAGCTCCACAGATGTTCCTCTATCTCGTAAAATAATGTAAATCTCAAATGGGCCAAGTTCGTTAACCCTTCAAAACCTCAAGAACACATTCAAACATCCTGCATATTATAATAACTAACCTTCGACTTGAATATTTCTACGAAAGAGTTTCGAGAGGTGACCCTGGTTCGATGTTTCAATGAAAGTGAAAGGAATAGAAAGACTCGTTAGTACGAATGCAGTTAACAAGCTATTCTCAACTCGTAAATAGATACGAGGTGTACGCTCAAGTATTTGCACCTGAAGGAATTACAGGAAGAACTGATTCACGTCAAACTGATCTCGACTTCATGTTGCTCGTTTAGTTGCGTCACGCGTGCTGTCACTACACGCGCGTGCAAAGTCAATTAACACTTTCACGGTCGGTTCGCGATGAAATTGTCTCCTTTGGTGCGCAAATTTAAAATTTACTGCAGAAGCATTAGGTCCTATCGTAGATCAGGAAATGAGGATCAGTTTATGGTCAAGGGCTTTGTCTACAATTTTATGAGTATCGTCGAATGAGTTAGCTAAAACTCGAAGAGTCCGAAGCTCCACAGATGTTCCTCTATCTCGTAAAATAATGTAAATCTCAAATGGGCCAAGTTCGTTAACCCTTCAAAACCTCAAGAACACATTCAAACATCCTGCATATTATAATAACTAACCTTCGACTTGAATATTTCTACGAAAGAGTTTCGAGAGGTGACCCTGGTTCGATGTTTCAATGAAAGTGAAAGGAATAGAAAGACTCGTTAGTACGAATGCAGTTAACAAGCTATTCTCAACTCGTAAATAGATACGAGGTGTACGCTCAAGTATTTGCACCTGAAGGAATTACAGGAAGAACTGATTCACGTCAAACTGATCTCGACTTCATGTTGCTCGTTTAGTTGCGTCACGCGTGCTGTCACTACACGCGCGTGCAAAGTCAATTAACACTTTCACGGTCGGTTCGCGATGAAATTGTCTCCTTTGGTGCGCAAATTTAAAATTTACTGCGGGTGCGCAAATTTAAAATTTACTGTGGGTGCGCAAATTTAAAATTTACTGTGGGTGCGCAAATTTAAAATTTACTGTGGGTGCGCAAATTTAAAATTTACTGTGGGTGCGCAAATTTAAAATTTACTGTGGGTGCGCAAATTTAAAATTTACTGTGGGTGCGCAAATTTAAAATTTACTGTGGGTGCGCAAATTTAAAATTTACTGTGGGTGCGCAAATTTAAAATTTACTGTGGGTGCGCAAATTTAAAATTTACTGTGGGTGCGCAAATTTAAAATTTACTGTGGGTGCGCAAATTTAAAATTTACTGTGGGTGCGCAAATTTAAAATTTACTGTGGGTGCGCAAATTTAAAATTTACTGTGGGTGCGCAAATTTAAAATTTACTGTGGGTGCGCAAATTTAAAATTTACTGTGGGTGCGCAAATTTAAAATTTACTGTGGGTGCGCAAATTTAAAATTTACTGTGGGTGCGCAAATTTAAAATTTACTGTGGGTGCGCAAATTTAAAATTTACTGTGGGTCCGCAAATTTAAAATTTACAGTAGGTGCAGAAATTTAAAATTTACTGCGGTTGCACAATTTTTAAATTTACTGTGGGTGCAGAAATTTAAAATTTACTGTGGATGCGCAAATTTAAAATTTACTGCGGGTGCACAAATTTAAAATTTACTGCGGTTAGTTTATCATGTACTAAAAGTTCAGAGATGAGTATATGAATAAGCTAATTTTTTTTAATATCAAACAAACTGTACCTATTTTTTAATATTGAAATAAGCTGTGGTTTATATATCAGCTATTTATATTAGGGTAGAAATTTGTCACAGAGTGCATCAATCCCTTGCAGTATTTTAACGAGCCAGACTTATGTAATGCAACAAATCTTGCTTGAAGATTTAATACATTTCAAGTACAATTTTGAAGTACAATTATAACTTCTATAGTCAAAAAGCGTTGAACACAAAATAGTCACACTTTGACTTTCTTTAATGATTTTAATACTGCTGTAGTTAATAGTTACTTCTGACAATCTAATACGACAAGGGATTAATCTGTAGGTCAAAGAGAAATGAATTAACATTACCTAAAAGTTGTCAGTAATTTTGGCTGCCAGACGACGCCTCCGCCACACTGAACGATGCGGAGTACGGTCCAAAGCTGAAGCTAGCACTCTGTGCATTGGCCTGACTTTGGCCAACAGGTTTCCCATACGAATCTACAGATCCTGCGGAAGCCGTAGCGAAGGATCCTCCGACACTCGGTTGTGGATGGTACTCTGGTCTATATCTGTAAAAAAAATTGTGAAGACTTCGAACTCCAATATTTGAATGAATTGTTATACCCTCCGTATTGACCACTGGGGTAGAAATTGTAGCCATCCGGTTTGTGTTTGTGGTGTTTATGCTTGCGATGGTGGTCGAACGTCCGCTCTTCCTCGACGTCGTAATCTGAATAGTCTGCGTCGAGGAGTCCGAACTGTGGCGATCGTTGGTCCCTGTTATTACCTATAAAATTGTACTTGTAATAAAAGAGCTCAACCACAAAAAATAAGTATAAAAACTGACCAGTATTCGAGGCGACTTCAACGGGGTTCAACGATGCAGGATCGGAGAGTCCTGTGGGTTGCGCGTCGATCAGCGCACACAAGAGTATTAATAATAATTGCGATATCCACATTATGACGAAACGACGAATTCGACAGCGAGAAAGAAATTGTAGGAAGTTCAGTGAACACGATCCTTTTATACAAGTCCACACCAACGAATTCAAGGAAGACACCTAGGTCCCATAATTTCCTAATGTCCGTTTATTGGTTTCTAAAGAGTGGACGACCTTACTGATCAGGGCCGATCGAAAGTGGACTAGAGGAAAGTACGAGTTTGCCTGAGGACGCTAATTCTCTTGGGACGCTGCGGGGAATTACGTCGAAGGAAAAAATAGTTACTTCGATGAGTAATTTTTCGAATATCATGTTTTATTCAGCACGCATGTGAAATATAGTCAAGGTTTAGCTATTATGAATTTTGGAGTATTGTTTCTTTGATGACTTGCAAAGATGCTGTTGTAGAAATTTAGGTTAGGTTATATGAGGTGTGGATACTAGTGTTACTCAAATTGAGTTTTAGGAGATTAGGGTTACTCAAATTGAATTTTAGGAGGTTAGGTTTACTCAAATTGAGTTTTAAGAGGTTAGGGTTACACAAATTTTTAATTATAAGAGGGACAAGAATTTTACGAATATATGAGTACAATTTAATACAATTTATTTTATAAAATCACACTTCTCACGTTTATAAAATAACGTAGTCAGTCTCTTATTAATTTCAGTCTTGTGTCTCTCCTTATCATTACAGTGACATATAAAATGATTCTTATGAATTATAATTGTAAAATGATTCTCATGAATAATATTTATAAAATAGTTCTTATGAATAATGGTTATAAAACAATTCTTATGAATAATAATTATAAAATAGTTCTTATGAATAATAATTATAAAACGATTCTTATGAACTATAATTATAAAATAGTTTTTATGAATATTAATTATAAAATGATTCTAATAAAATATTTCTTACGAATTTTGTCGAAAGGCTACAATCTAAAGTAATTATCAGGATGAACTGACTTCGTCAAATTCAAATAGCACCTTAAAAATTATGATTTAGATTATCCAACGCCTAGAGTCACGCCATTATCTGTTACAAGTAATCTCTTTAACCCATTATATGTTGATGTTGATGAGTTTTGCTGTGTTCGACTGATAGACTGCTGTGAGGTAGCTGCAGATTGGCATTGAAACTGTGGGTCTTCGAATAGGACACTGAATGATGTAGCAGATGCGGAAGAAGATGGTGGCGGTGCACTGTAGAGTGAGAATGAACGGAGCTCGATGAGTGGGCGATAGAAGTTTCCAATCTGAAATAAAAGAAAAGAATGAAATATTAACTGTCGTTATTTTACTGTTTGTGAAGTAAGCTGGACTCGACTTGAAATTAATTTGTCTGTCAATTCATTCTTGATTTTAGAATTCAGATTTATTTAATAATGAACACTAAACCTTGATAGGTTTGATATATGCTGATTCATAAAATCCACACTTGATTTAAAAAATTAAAAATGAAGTTCAGTAGTAAATAAACAAATGAAACATAAATTAGTACATTCTTCATTTTTATGAAGATTCGAGATTTCAAAGAAATAAACTTAACAAATTTTGTAACTTAATAAAGAAATTTATAAAACTTGCAAAGTCTTTGACTGCTGTGGTAATTTTAGTGTAATTTACTTACCCTGGATAATTTGCACCCTCATATTCGATCTGCTTTTTGACTCTCTTCGCACCCTGACTGCCTTCTTCACTCGCTAAAATATGCACGTCATTAGAATATTACACTAAACTCTCCTATATTAATAAAAGTCAGAATTTCTTTAAAAAAGAATCCAAAGAATGTTCCAATAACTGAATCAAAGTTAAAGTAAAAATTCTTACACAACGTCAATGATCGAGCATCAACCACAATTTCCACAGCGACCAAAACTACCAACAACACGAAGAACTTCATTCTCGCCGAATATTTCCAAACTGAATGCAGATTTCGTCGATGCTTTCCTTTTAAGGGTTCCTTTCCCCGTTATGGGTTTTTCAGGAAAGCCATGGTTTGCCTATAACAATGCTTCCTGGTCGAAGACACAAATCGTGGAATTTTAGGTAGGTGATTAGCGGCAATAAAGCGATAAAGGCATTACCTGTGGATTCCCCTCTAATGTCGCTGATGATCCTCGACAAATTAGATTTAACATCCATGGAATTTTACGTGGATGATGTAGTTTCGATGACTAAACAATTTCTTACTGTGCAACATTTAACAATTAAGATGGCGGAGCTACATTCAAGATGGCGGATTCCTCGTTTGAAATTGCGAAATTTCTTCAAAGAAATTTTTGGGGAAGTCTTTCTTCAAGATTAAGTGTTAGATAATTTACATATTTTTAGTTTATTTATTTCTCTACATTCGTTGCAATTTGTGCAACATTTAACAATTAAGATGGCGGAGCTACATTCAAGATGGCGAATTCCTCGTTGGAAATTGCGAAACTTCTTCAAAGAAATTTTTGGGAAAATCTTTCTTCAAGATTAACTGTTAGATAATTTACATATACTTAATTTATTAATTTCTCTACGTTCGTTGCAATTTGAAAATAAGTAACCATAAGACGTCCCCAAAATTCACTATTAAAACATACATACAATTTTCTTCTTATTACAAATTATATTCAAACTTGAAAACACTTAAACTCTTTCCATTCCAATCTCTTTGCATCGAACAAAACCAATAATCCTTCCATAAGATTTATCGTTGTTCAAGAAATTATTTACAAACTTCACAAAGATTGTTAAATTGTTTGCTATTATTACCATGCGCATTCGCAGTAAATTATAGCTGCATATCGAAGAAAATAGCAGAGATTTAAAAAAAGACAGAAACTGATAATAATGCTTAACGATTCTTCGATGACGTGCAAACATTTGCAAGCGGATTCTATTTCTCGAGAACTTCCTCTTGTATAATTAGTTTCAGACATCGCGATTTTGTATTCATTTTATCTTTCTACGATAACGTTTACCGGTTTACATTCATTTTATAATTATTCAACTTTCTCTGATTTTTAGGAGTCTTTCTACACTTTCTGTTTTATTAATCATTGCTTTACTGATTAAATATAGACACTGGATGTTCTGAACTGAACTGAGTGTTCAGGTTGAGTTACCTCTCTTTTTACAGAGCAAGAATTTCTTTCTCCTGTTTTCAAATTTATTTAATAAAATATTCCTAATAATTTCTAACGTTAAAAGAATAAAAGTATTAAAAAATACACTAAAGAAAAATTGGACATTGTCACTCAGAAATTAACTGTAATCATTGCTATACTGATTAAATATAGACACTGGATGTTCTGTACTGAACTGGGTCTTCAGGTTGAGTTACTTTAAGTTACCTCTGTTTTTACAGAGCAAGAATTTCATTCTCCTGTTTTCAAATTTATTTAACAAAACATTTGTAATAATTTCTAATATTGAAAGAATAAAAATATTCAAATGAAAGGTACACTAAAGAAAAATTGTTAGACATTGTCACTCAAAAATTAACAGTAAGCTTGTATCTAGGCAACGATAGGTCTAGCAGACAAGTACGCCCGCTGAATATTAACATGGAACAATGAACTGATTTCAATGTCTTCGAACGGATTCGCGAAATGAGATCGTTTACGAGGTCATCGAACCGGGCCAAAACGGCTGAGAGAATATATGAATCTGTGATTCGAATTTCGCGAAGCCATTTACAGCAAAACCGTTTGTCCAATCTAGAAACCACAAGTCACTGAGTCACATCAGAAAATTAGACGTTTGTCCTTTTGGAAACCCTCACTGAGTCACATCAGAAAATTACACGCAAAATTTATTATTTAACCTCCTTTTGCTCCGTTTGTGTATGATAATTCGTGAGAAACGAAGATGCAATTCAAATTTTCAAAAGCATCGCGAATCCAGCTGCATCCGAGCGGAACGATCGTTCTCTAAGGTAGATGTGCTCGACCGCTTGCGTCGCCTGGTCACGCTCGAAAATACGATATGCGTGACTTGGAAAACGGTGCGTTTCGAGGTTGATTCATGAAATCGTACGAATTCATGAAGTATTCACGGCTTGATAGCGGTACCGGCCAGACAAATCTGTCGGAGAATTAATTCCAACGGAAATTGTCCCTGTTAACGATTAACTGTCCTGGGACTCAAAGGACTCAAAAATTAACATGTGGACTCCAAAATTGGGAAGATAGCTCAATCAATCTGGAAATGGAGGAAGCTTATAAATAGGTGGAGAGCTTAGAGATTAAAAGAACCTAAATGTTGACCTAGAAGTGGAGGGAACTTAGAATCAGTAGGATTTAGGGTTTTGGTCAAGGTAGAGATTAAAGGAGTCGAAGAATTAGGATAACACTGGATTAGAAATCGTAACAGAGTTTGGATCCCTGAACTTTGATCTCAGAATCTACAAATCGGGAGAAACTAGAGGTCGAGGGGACTTAGGATCAGTGGGATTTAGAAGTCAGTAAAATTTGGGAAACCCAGAAATTAATGTCCCGAATTGATAAATCCAAACACTGGAATATTAGAAATCTTGAGAGAGCTCAGCATAAATACAAAAACCTTGAGATACCAATACCCAAAAATCGAGAGAACCTAGTTGACCCTAGAATCAGTAGAATGTAGCCTAAGTCCAAAAATTAATAAAACCCAAAAGTCATAAGAAACCAAGAATGCAACCCTTGAGAAAACCAATCCAACCCTTGAGAGTCCCCTTGAGAAAGAATCCAACCCTTGGAAAAAGGGGTAGAAAGAGAATATTTAGGTACTTAATTATTGAGAATATTTTACAAAAAGCCGGGAAGGTACAGTGACACGCGAAGGCGGATCTGTCTGAGGGCGTTTGAAATTCAGAACACGAGCGTCTCGGCCACCGCCATTGGACTCTTACGGACTTTTGATCATCCCCAAGAATTATCGTCGCCTCTGACCAGTCATACCTGCAGACGTCCGAGCGTGTATGACTGACATAATGTTAATATTAACGGGTTACGTCAAACAGACGTCATTAACCGTACCGGGTGATCATTGCAAAACAGCGTCCTTCCAGCGACAAAAATAGCCACTTGCAGCGATTAAAAATAATCTAAAGCTTCCTGCCGGAAGAATACCATAAGTATAACTTTTGAGAGTAAGCAACCCTGTGATGGTACTTTCTTGGAAGAAGCGGGTCATGGAACGGGAATGAAAGTCCTGGAATGGCGAATTCCCGCGATTGAAAGAATCAGTGGAAAGCATCGTTCCGACTCGTTCCTTGGAGGCCTATTTATAGAACGATTGAAAATGTATGAACCTCTATGTTATTCTGTCGTTAGATCCTTTTATCAGGCTACAATCTGTGACTCACGAACCGTCTCGGCTTGAAAAAAGGAAACTGTCAACGGCGATTCTTGTCATCGTTCATCAAACCACTGTTCATTGACGTCTTTGCTACCGCCTTAAATTAAATTTAGATATCAATCACCTTTTTAGCTTAGATTTTTCAATGATTCGAATGCATTCAAAATTTAGATTGTCATTTAGGTTGTCAGTCCATGTATTATTTTATTCTGGACACAGGTCCCAAATTGTCCTTTTCAAATGACGAAGGTTGTTGACTCAGCGACTTGAACTGGAGGTACCACATAATGTGGACATCGGATTAGTTTCATTATTACTGACAGTCATTTTTCTTCCAAAATCTTGACTACTATTTTATTAGACAGTCCACGTGTTACTTTATCATGGACATAAGTCCAAAATTGCTCATTTCAAGTGCTCATCCAAGGTTGTTGACATGACGACTTGAACTGAAGGTGCCACATAATGTGGACAGCTGATTAGTCTCATTATTGCTGACAGTCATTTTTCTTCCAAAATCTTGACTACTATTTTATTAGACAGTCCACGTGTTACTTTATCATGGACATAAGTCCAAAATTGCTCATTTCAAGTGCTCATCCAAGGTTGTTGACATGACGACTTGAACTGAAGGTGCCACATAATGTGGACAGCTGATTAGTCTCATTATTGCTGACAGTCATTTTTCTTCCAAAATCTTGACTACTATTTTATTAGACAGTCCACGTGTTACTTTATCATGGACATAAGTCCAAAATTGCTCATTTCAAGTGCTCATCCAAGGTTGTTGACATGACGACTTGAACTGAAGGTGCCACATAATGTGGACAGCTGATTAGTCTCATTATTGCTGACAGTCATTTTTCTTCCAAAATCTTGACTACTATTTTATTAGACAGTCCACGTGTTACTTTATCATGGACATAAGTCCAAAATTGCTCATTTCAAGTGCTCATCCAAGGTTGTTGACATGACGACTTGAACTGAAAGTGCCACATAATGTGGACAGCTGATTATTCTCATTATTGCTGACAGTCATTTTTCTTCCAAAATCTTGACTACTATTTTATTAGACAGTCCACGTGTTACTTTATCATGGACATAGGTCAAAAATTGCTCATTTCAAGTTCTCATCCAAGGTTGTTGACATGACGACTTGAACTGAAGGTGCCACATAATGTGGACAGCTGATTAGTCTCATTATTGCTGACAGTCATTTTTCTTCCAAAATCTTGATTACTATTTTATTAGACAGTCCACGTGTTACTTTATCATGGACACAGGTCCAAAATTGCTCATTTCAAGTTCTCATCCAAGGTTGTTGACTTAGCGATATACATTGATGACACATAGTGTGAACAGCTGATTATCCTCATTATAGCTGACAGTAATTTTTCTTCCAAAATCTTGACTACTATTTTATTAGACAGTCCACGAGTTACTTTATCATGGACACAGATCCAAAATTGCTCATCTTAATTGCTCATATAAGGTTATTGACTTGAACTGGAGGTGCCACATAGTGTGGACAGCTGATTATGTTCAGTCCCAGCACAGTATATTTCCGAAGGATGTATAGCACCATTCCAAGTAAGAATGTGTATCTGCATATCTAGAAGTCCTAAATCTGGCCTTCGAAGACACCACGTGCTGCAACGCGATCAAAGAGGACGATCGACGAGGGATCGCAATTAATGCGTTCGATTCAACAGGGCTCCAATCAAGGATGACGATCACGTATCGTTGAACGATGCGCACGTTTGCGTTACGACGATCCTGTTGGGTACGAGGCAACCACCTGACGAACGATGGTGGGGAACCAGAGGGTCCCATATCCCCGTTCTCGTGGCTTGGATCCGACCGATCCATCCCATAGCCTGTGTCATCGTTCGCCCATCCCATCCCATCCCCCTTCGTGATCCTAGCTCCTGGTATAAAAGCAATTGCGGATTCGAGGATACCAGCATCGTGCAAAAAGTCCGTGAACCAGGTAGACCAGGTAGCCAGGTGTCCAGTGCTTGGAGTTCAGTCTCTGGTATCCGGAAGAACGTGCGAACGGTGTTTGGAAGATTCTTGTATTTGTTTAATTGGAGTTGGAGATGGCGCAGTGGATGACCTTCGTCCTCTTCGTCGTGGCGGCGGTGGTCGCGGTGGCGGAGTCCAGAGCTATCCCTGCTGAACCTAGTGAGTATCAAATTTAAACCCGAGCTGGAGCTCTTCATGGGTGGAGTTTATTTGTCTCTAATCACTTCTGAGACATAAATGAATACTCCCATCAAAACCTAATTGTGCTGTCAGCACCAAACCTCTGACTGTTTCATCCTCTTTGGTTCAAACTCGAAGATTCAAACTGGAAGCTCGAGTATCATACTAATCAAGCTCTCTAAGACTAGGAATACTTGTCCCAATAATTTGAGTACCATCTTTGTCCATTCTTTGACATAGAAATTAAATAACAAAGCAATTGTTACTTAAAAATCCACGAGAGTCTCTATCCTACATTATATGTGGATACATTATGTCCTACACTATCTCTGCCTTACACTTCCACAAAAATATGTGTCCTACAGTCCTAATATTCTATGTCCCAGGATTCTAATCCTACACTATCTCTCCCTTACGCTACCACAAAAATGTGTGTCCTACAGTCCTAACATTCCACGTCCCAGCCTCCTATTCCTACTGATCCAAAAAAGCTACGACTCCAATACGTTTAAAAGTTTCAGTAATGCTAGATCCATACGGGAACCCGATAGTCTTCCTCCGCGAGAAGAGGACAGCGGTGCACCCCTACCCCCATAGAGCCATGATGTTCACCGGCTACTACCGACCCGTACGTCGGTCGAGTCACGGTGGCCAGGCGACAGGTGTGTTCGCTCAAGGCAACGCCGTGAGCGGAGAAGCCTTCTTCGGTGGCATGCAGGCGCCACATTTGAAGAACGGCCCAGAACCGATCGAGGAACCGGAAGTCTCTAGCGCGGAGGCTGAAGCTGCGCCAGAGCCGGAGCATCCTTATAGCCAGGATGAGCAGACTCAGGAGCAGGAGTACCAGCCGGAGGAACAGGTTCATCAGCATCAGCAGGAGGAACAGTATCCGCAGGAGGAAGTGCAGGAGGAGCAGCATAAGCAACACTTGCCTCCTCAGGTAGTTTATGAAGCTTGATGTTAAGTTAACTTAAACTTGCTTATGATAGTTCTTTGTGGAGTATCTTTCTTACAGTACTCTTCTTGTATCATCATTTGTAGCATACCTTTCTAACTGAATTCTACATTAACTTAACTTAAACTTGCTTATGATGGTTCTTTCTATAGTATCTTTTTTACAGTATATTTCTGCAGTAGCCTTTCATACAGTACTCTTCTTCTATCATCATTTGTAGCGTACCTTTCTAACTGAACTTGATATTAACTTAACTTAAACTTGCTTATGATAGTTCTTTCTGTAGTATCTTTTTTACAGTACATTTCTGCAGTAGCCTTTCTTACAGTACTCTTCTTGTATCATCATTTGTAGCATACCATTTCTAAGTAGACTTAACTTTAACTTAACTGAATCTTTTCCTACAATAGTCCTTTCTACAGTATTCTTCTTGCGGTAACTTCCTACAGTAGCCTTTCATATAATACTTTTCTTATACCATCATCTCTAGCATATAATTTCTAACTAAACTTAACCTTAACTTAACTTAACCTCTCTTACAATAATTCTCTCTACAGTACCTTACTTACAGTATCTTTCTTACAGTATCTTTCTTACAGTACCTTTCTACAATAACCTTTTTCGCAATGCACCTCTTCTCTCATCATCTCTAACAAACCATCATCTGCTTCTAAATAGACATACCAAATTTAATGAGTATTTAACAGAGCAATCTTTGTATGTTTCAAAGAATGAGCAACCAGAGCCAGAAGCAGCCCCAACGCTGAGCACAGAAGCCTCTCCAGTGACCCTAGCGGAGGAGTCCCACCCCAGCATCGAAGTGACGACCACTCGCCCAAAGGTTCAGCACGGGAAGAAGACGAAGAAGACGCAAGTTGTGGTCGAAGAAGACGACGACGACGACGAAGAGTACGACGACGAGCCAGTGGTGCCTTTCGTGCCTTTCAAGGGAAATCGTCGCCGCCAGAATTATCCGAACTTGAATAACTTCTTCCCGATGGTGTTCAGTTTTCCTGGAGCCTCTTCCAGATCTGGAGCCCCTGGATCTCCCCCTGGAGCAGTGACCGCGATCGCTAACAGTTACAGCACTGGGAAAGGAGGCGTCGCTAACTCGGTCGCGACTGCTTATGGAGGATCCCATAATGGGTAAGTTTCTGATTTTATTAGTATTTTTTCTCAGTACTATTTAATGTTTTAATTTTGTAGGAAGAAGAAACCTGCACCGACGCCTGAGGAATAGAGCCCCTCGATACCGTTAAATATTCCGCGCGATATTAATATGCAGACAGGATAGACAGACACTTTTAATCGGTTCAAAGACGACCGAAGAGTGGTGGATTTGTAATCTGATGTCTTCCTGTTTCGTGCCAACCCTTTACGATCACTATGTCTTACGAACGATAAAATTAGTATTTAACAGTAAGTTATAGCAGCTTTGTTCAAGCTTCTAAAACGATAAATTTAATCGTTGAAATCGAGATTGGTCTTAGAGTATCTTTTCTTTATAGTTGTATTTAGGTATCGGTAGATTTAGCTAGTAATAAGTGTAAGAGTTTAATCGTAAAACGGACAAGTGCAATATTAAGTCGATCGTTCAAAGGGTTCGCATTACTGCCATCGATCGACACTGATCACGCGATTGTATAGTTCGCAGATCTACGCGATTACGAGTTAGAATAGTTCGAACCTAGCCGAGAGGCAGCGATACTTTTCGATTGTTACTGAACCTTAGGATTTCCTGAATAAAAACAATCGATCTGACATTGTTTTTCTTTACTTCCCTTTCCTGATTTTTCTAACATAACCTCTTGTGCGTCACGTGCGTCACGTGCGTCAGACACATCAATTATCATCTGCGACAAAGTCCAAACGGATTGTTACTGAATCTTAGGATCTCCTAAATAAAAACAATTGATCTAACAAAGTTTCTCTTTACTTTCCCATCAAATCCTAATTTTTCCAACATAACCTCTTGTGCGTCACGTGCGTCAGACGCATCAATCTCCTACAAATTCAAACCAGATAAAGAAAATTAAGATCCCATACCGGTGTTCTATTCAGCAGGCCTCAACTCAAATAACAATTACTAAACTACAACTTCAAAATATGAGAAAAATATTTAAATAGCAAAGTGACGAAGGTCGCCAAGGGATAAATTTGAGAACATTAGAGAGCAAAGTACCGAAAGACAAACACTCTTAGACCGCAAGAAAGTGGTCAGGTGTTTAAATAATGCTCGGTTTAACCACTGACGTAATTACGAGAATGTTGTCGCAAAAAATGTAAACGAGACGAAACTCGACACGGAGGAGCTCGAATTGATTCGCTAAACGAACGTGTTAGAAGGCGAAGCACAGGAATCGTTCTGTTTTATCCTTGAAATCATATGTACAAAACAATTAGTCATCATATAATTCCTACATTGACTGTGATTCAGTGAATGGCGCGTTTCACGATATTGTGGAATCTTTTTGTTCCAAAATTTCCTGTTATTGTAAAAGCAAGGTTGAAGATTTCATAGTTTTATGAAGGTCAGCTTAGTCTATGAAAGCTAGGTTTACTCTATGAAAGCCAGCTTTAGTCTATGAAAGCCAGCTTAGTCTATGAAAACTTAGCTCTATATGAAAGTTATCTTTCATACTTTCAAAGCTATCCAAAACAATTTCAATGTGGTTGACTTTGACATACTATTTGAATTATCTCATAATAATAAATCCTTCATCATCACCTGAGAATATGCAGCTATTATTCTTTGATGAAAATATTGACCAAACAATTTTAAACGATTTTAAAAAGAAAAAATTATCTTGAGGTCATCGTTGAAAGAAAAGCAGCCAACTTTTTTGCTGTTTGATCACACCTGGATTATCCGGCGTGTCCATCCAATGGATGAGGTACGCTAATGAGATGCGACTCCTCGTGAAGAATACCCATTTCATACCTAACACGTAACCGTGTTGGGACATCCCAGAACGTGTGTAGTTGCATTATATAAAGATCGACCTCTTCATCTTCGCATCGTCATTTCGCACTTGATCTTTACGGGAGTTATCTCGAGAGTGGACTGTTTGCAAACATGTCGAAGATCGTTTTGATCTTGGTTGCCATTTTGGCTGTTGCTTTTGCTTATCCTGTGGTTGAAGAAGGTATAGTTCACAAGGTTCTAGTTTTGGGAGGAATTTTGACTGAGGGAGTCACATTGATTTGACTGAGGGAGTTACATTGATATGGTTAGGTTAGGTTTGATACCATAATGATATAGTGTTGATAGAAAGTGTCGTTCAGGATTTGTTTGGAGAACCAGAAGGAATTGAAATAGTGTTTGAGGAGTACATGTAGATTGACTTTAATATTTTAGAACAATATATTGATTAGATTGATACCATAATGATATAGTGTTGATAGAAAGTGTCATCCAAGAATTTGTTTTGAGAACCAGAGGAAATTACAATAATGTTTGAGTACTTACATGTAGATTGACTTTAATATTTTAAAACAAAGTGTATAACTACTATCAACCACAGTTAACAATTATTTCTTATTAATTCAAAGTTAATAACCAGTAATTTAATGAAAATCAAATAGGAAGATGACAGTGCCACAAGAACACGTGCTCACTAAAATAAACTGATTAACATCCTCCAACGCAGTGACTGACTAACAAACATATTTAGCACTCACTTGACAATCATCACAAATTATTACTTCTCGACATTCTATAAAAGCCACCTGCCGAATTTTGATTATAGCAGAAAAACCATCGTCAAGGATAGTGAGAGATGCAAAAGCGGATCCACACTTTGGCGGAGGAGGATTGGGTGGTTTTGGAGGAATCGGTGTCATCGGTGGATTTAAATTAGGTGGTATCGGTGGCTACGGAGGTGGCTATCCTTATCATGGTGGATACGGTCATGGTGGACACGGTGGTTATGGACACGGTGGTTACGGTCATGGTGGTTACGGTGGACACGGTGGTTACGGTGGACACGGTGGTTATGGAGGTGGATCTTATGCTAGCGCGCAAGCTGGGTAAATATTTAAATACCTATCTTGAAAATTTCATTCTAAAAATTTTATTATACAAATTTCATTATAACAATTTCATTCTGAATATTTCATTCTGAAAATTTCTTTTTACAAATATTATTATAAACATTTCATTATGAAAATTTCATTCTGAAAATTTCTTTATAAAAATATCATTAAAAAAATTGCATTATAACAATTTCATTCTGAATATTTCATTCTGAAAATTTCTTTATAAAAATATTATTATAAACATTTCATTATAACAATTTCATTCTGAAAATTTCTTTATAAAAATATCATTAAAAAAATTTCATTATAACAATTTCATTCTGAACATTTCATTATAAAAATTTCATTCTGAAAATATCATTACAAAAATTTCATTATATCAATTTCATTGTGAACATTTCATTCTGAAAATTTCATTACAAAAATTTCATTATAGAAACTTCATTATAAAAACTTCATCATGAAAATTTCATTATGGAAATTTCTTTAAGAAAACTTCATTAAGAATTTCTTAAAATTTCTTTGAATGAACCTATTTGTCTGAAACAGAGACTTGTTTGTTGCAGGTCCTTTGGATTTGGTCGATAAACAAAATAGAATTAGACATGTAACTTGACGATTTCAATAAACTTTTCTACAACCTCTAAAAATGTTTTTTTCTTTCAAACCTCCCCGAACTTGAATTAGCGACAGAATATTCTAGTACCGATATGTCGATAGGTTTGATTTCATTCGGATGTTTGAGAAAAGTGTTTGAAAAACACGGCATACCGTTGTGCGCTTACAGCAACATCATTGCTATAAAATCGGTTGCTCTAACGAACGCAGTCATTTAACGGAATTCTTCTATCAAAGTCGAATAGAAACCTGAAGAAGAATGAAGTATCTAGTGATTGTGTTCTTGATAACCCTGCAAGTAAGTTTAAATTAAATCTTAAAAGTCGATCTTAAACTTAACTAGTTTAAATTACTTAAACTTTAAACTACTACTTGAGTTAATTAGCAAAAATTCACCTGAAAATATATTTATAGTTGCGCCATGCCTGGTCTGCGAAACTGGAATCAAAAGGTAAAAGACGTCTACGTATTATTTGATTAAATAATTAATCTGTTATGTTGGTTTCTTAGCAAATCAAACGAAATTGGGTCAACCGAGAATTCGAGTGCATAGAGTTTCCTATCCTATCAATGAAGAGTCTTACGGAAAGAATATAATGAACGAAGGAGCGAAACAACTGTTTCCTTTGGAAAATAAGGCTTTGCTGACGTTTTCTGAGAAGCTGCAGTCTACTCTTCCTGATTTGAGCGATCTCATTCAACGTGAGGTAAGAAGTTTGATGGTGTAGAGTTGCACTTGTTAGCTTTCGGCCATTTTGTTTGCTTACGCCCATTTTGTTTACGGTCATCTTGTGTACATCATCTTCTGTACATAGCATTTGTAAACTTGCACCTTCTTTTAGACAACAATATTGCAAGTTTAATAAAATCGAATTTTGTAAAATATTTGAGAGAGATGTTAATGTAAGATGGCTGTAAAGAAACAAGATGGCTGTAAATAAGTAGACTCTACGTTAACAAGTGTGACCACGTAAACAAGTGCGACTCTACGAAATATTTAACATTTTGACTGTCACGTCACCCACATATGGTGCTTATTGGACAAATCTCACTTGTGACGTACTTAAAACTCAAATGTGACAAACCTTACTCGAATTTTGAATACTCCTCTTCGTGTTGACTGACGCATTTGATAAATAAGTGACACGAGAAGGGGTTAATCTTCCATACGTATCATCTTTATTATTAAGAATTTGTTCGCTAATCTAGTTGGAAATATTATTTGAAACTATGAATAATAAATATAACTAATGTGAGAATAGAAACAAAAATCTATTGCTTCTTGGGAGTCAACGTGTTAAATTTCAATTGCAAAAATAACTTGATGCAGGCACAGTTGTTCAAGGAGTTAAACATAATTCTGAAAGAGCTGCCCCGAGAGGAGGCGACGAAATTGAAGAACGTTGACTTCGCAGTGAACGAGATGGATATCGCTACTTCAGCATCTATGAAATCGATGCTAAAGAATACTAATCGCTTGGATAATAACCTTCTGAATTCCCCGGAAGAGCTGAGTGTTTATCACCAAGAGCAGTCACGTAACTATTTTGACTTTAAAATAAATTAGGAGATAAATCAGATCAAATCTAAAATTCTGCAGATCTTATTTTTGTCGATGTCACTAGGATCTCCGATTGAATCGACGAACGATCCGGAGCTGAAGGTAGTAAACAACATTGCACAATACTTGGACAATGTATTGATGGAAATTCGGAACCACATAACTTACGTTCGTGCAGTGTTTGAGAAACTATGCAGGTAAAGCAAACAACATTTTTAAAATTGAAATGTTTTAAAATGTTATACGAAAACAATGTTACAGGAAACATAATTCGTTGACTCGGAATGCAAACATGGAGGCGAATCAACCTAAGAAAGTCTCCATACTCTAAATTATTATTTTCTATTCACTGAAATATTCATAAAAAATGTATTACCGTATTTAAGATTTATGTCTGTAATTTTTATTGTGATTTAATCTTGAAATTTGCTAAATAAAGAGTTGTGAATTCATTGTAAAATTGAATGAAATTGCATGATGAAATTGATTAGAGTTGGTCCACGGTTACGTGAAACAATTTCTAGTTTGATCGATCACATTCGGTAACCGTTGGCGACTGAGAAAGAAAACATCGCGACGGTAGTGTTTTCTTCTTTTTTCAGGTAAGTTTACTGTTAACTCGATTGTTACGTTGTCAAAATTTTAAAATACCACGAATGCAAATAAATGAAAGAGAATTGCACTTGAGGAAGCTTTACTTTTGTTTGAAATTATAAATAATTGACGGAGAGGTACGAATTAAGGGCAACCATTTTGTAATGAGACTTTCGATGTGACATAAAGAAATTTTGTTACTGAATCACAATTAAATCGTTATAATAATATCAGACAATTATAACAATAAACAGTGTAGGATACAGAAATAAATTCCAGAGGTTCCTAACTTGCTTTAAGATATTTTAAAAAAATATTTCTTTCCTATTATTTCGTGTGGTCCACGTGCAATCCTAAATTTACAATATGGCGACAGTGAATGACTCATTCAGCAGAAATTACATCTCTGAAAATTCAGACTTAAAAAAAGGCTGAATTATTGAATTTAAAAAAACATTACATTGACACAAAGTGTTAACAGAATTCTTGTAGAGTTATTCTCGTCCATACTGATTTGTATCAGTATTCAGTATTTGTATTAAATTATTCTCGTGCATACAACATACATAGAAGCTTTCGAAGGATGTGCATTTTACTGCTGTTTCAAGAGTAATCTCGCACACGTAACTTTCCATATTTCCCGTAACGAGTTTTCGGCACGCAGTTCTGAAGGTTCTAAAATCTAGGACAAACTTCCGGATAAATGGTATATATAGATAACGAAATGAGTGCAAATAAAGCAGATGCACGCAATCCACTGATCTTATCGATAGCTTCTGCAACAAATTTCTATTAAACTTCTTTTTTCTGGAATTTCTATTAAATTTCTATTAAATTTCTTTATTAAACAGCAAAGGTTGCATACTGTTCATCAGGAATGTGGTCAAATGTAGTCAATGTTGCATGTAAATAAAACCTTGCATTCCCAGAATAACATAAACGCATGCAATTTGCGGTATTCGCAAGAGAATTCAATTTTCTAAATTATGTTACATTAAGTAAATTTGAATGGAGGGAATTATCTGAATTGCCCAAATGAGATTTTAACTTCTATAGATCATATGAAGGTTTAAAACTAAAAGCTAGTCTAAGTGGAAATGTTAACAGATTTCCAATCAAAGACGATGAATCGTTGCGTGTTATTGATCAATCGATCCGTAACCATAGCTTCTTTGCGATCAATTTCCGTTCGTGCTATGGCTGCTATAATTGGAACACGAGGAACAGATAATTCTGACGAGTTTGAGAGCTGTCTAATGTTCTCCTTCGTTAAGAATTATTCTGCTGTAATTTATTGTTACGACGAGTTAGCATTTACTGTTACGACGAGTTAGCACTCAAGTTAAGATTAAAACCAAGATGAAGATCCGAACGTTTGAGATGTGACTCGATCATCTTTTATTTTTGAGAGTCTCGTACTTTTTCTTGGTGTCTTAGTTTCTTACACAGTAATTATCACAGTTGTGTAAATCTTAGAAAAGAAGAATGAACACGTAAATTTGAATGAGACTTGTATCGTTGGAACTGCACTCTTGTGACTGTAGCCTTGAGACAATAACTTTGAGACTGTAACGTTGAAACTGTAATCTTGGAAATGTAATCTTGAAACTGTAACCTTGAAACTATAATCTTGAAACTATTAGGGGTACCGAAAAGTAATCAAAATTTTATTCGCTGGCGAAAAATATTTATTTATTAAAAAAATCTTAAATCAACAAAATAATTTCCATCACTTTCTAACGCTTTTTGCCAGCTTAAAGGCAATTGTTTCCTTCTTAAAAAAAGTCCTTCGATTTTTCATAAAAAAACTTTGAAATCATCGAAGAAATTTTGATTACTTTTCGGTACCCCTACTATTAACCTTGAAACTGTAATCTTGAAACTATTAATCTTGAAACTTTAACCTTGAAACTGTAATCTTGAAACTATTAACCTTGAAACTGTAACCTTGAAACTATAATCTTGAAATTGTAACCTTGAAATTATAATCTTGAAGTTGTAACCTCGAGACTGTAACCTTGAAAGTCTAAACTTGAGACTATTAACCTTGAAACTGTAACCTTGAAACTATTAACCTTGAAACTGTAATCTTGAAACTATTAACCTTAAAACTATAATCTTGAAATTGTAACCTTGGAATTCTAAACTTGAAACTGTAACCTTGAAACTATAAGCTCGAAATTATTAACCTTGAAACCATAATCTTGAAATTAAAACCTTGAAACCTAATAATTTTAACCAAGAACCACATCCTCTCCTTAAATCCACGTTCCACCACCCCGAAAGAATATTAACATCCTCAAAGAGGAAGATGTCTCCCAAATTCCAGAGAAATGAACGACCGCAGCCTCTCCAGCACAAAAGCACGAATGGATCACGGTAACAGCGTCGGCGTCGGAGTCGGCGCCGATGGCGCGAGCACCCTGAACCTTCGTGCTGGCACGACGTTGATGAAAAGCGTTTCAATCTTCCTGATGAGTGGTCGTAAAGCTTCCGTGAACTCCAAACGGCAAACTTCCGGTAGCCCTAAGGAGCTCCGTAAGAAGCATCGCAGAAGGATGCCGGAAGTTGGTGCTACCAGGAACTCTACTCATACTGTTAAAATGATCGAGTCTTTGAAGAGGAAAACCAGATTTTCTTGGCAAGTATGATCAAACGTTAATAGAACTCTCTTTGTAACTTTAATTTCTTCAATTTTTATTTCTTTTATTTCTTTTTTGTTTATTTTCAAAGAAGACATTAAGGGCTCAGACATTGATTTAACAGAGTTTGTGGTGCATTTTATTTAATTTTGAAGGCGGGGATTTATTGGGATTCGAACATAGATGTAGCAGAGTTTCTGGTTCATTTTGTTTAGTTTTCAAGGTGGGAACTAGTTAAGGTTCAAGCATTAAGGGAACTGTCTTTCTGACTTATTTTCCTTAATTTTAATTTCCTTTTTCTCTTTCTTTAATTTCAAAGATGGAAGTTAGGTAAAGGCTCAAACATTGATTTAGCAGACTTTGTGAGGCATTTTATTTAGTTTCAAAGGTGGGAGTCTATTGGGACTCCAACATCGTTTATGCAGAGTTTATTACTCATTTTCTTTAGTTTCAAGGGTGGAAGTCCATTAAAACTCAGACATCGATGTAGCAGTCTTTGTGGTTCATTTTCTTTAGTTTCAAAGGTGAAAATCATTCAAGGTTCAAACATCGAAGAAGTAGACTTCGTCGGCCATTTTGTTGAGCTTCAAAGATGGAAGTCAATCAAGACTTAATCATCGACAGAACAGACTTTGTGATTCTTTTAGTTTAGTCTGAAAAGTGGAGATCAATTAAGAATTAACCATTGACAGCAAAGACTTTGTTGTTCGTTTAGTTTAGTTTCAAAAGTGGAAATCAATTAAGAACTAACCAATGACAGCAAAGACTTTGTAGTTCTTTTAGTTTAGTTTGAAAAGTGGAAATCAATTAAGAACTAACCATTGACAGTAAAGACTTTGTAGTTCTTTTAGTTTATTTTCAAAGTTAAAATCAATTAAAACCTAACCATTATCAGCAAAGACTTTGTGGTTCTTTTAGTTTAGTTTGAAAAGTGGAAATCAATTAAGAACTAACCATTGACAGAAAAGACTTTGTTGTTCATTTAGTTTATTTTCAAAGTTAAAATCAATTAAGAACTAACCATCGACAGAGCAGACTTTGTAGTTCTTTTAGTTTAGTTTCAAAGTTAAAATCAATTAAGAACTAACCATTGACAGTAAAGACTTAGTGGTTCGTTTAATTTATTTTCAAAATTAAAATCAATTAAGAACTAACCATTGACAGAAAAGACTTTGTAGTTCCTTTAATTTAGTTTCAAAAGTGAAAATCAATGAAGAACCTTGATTCTATAAACCTCTCTTACAGGTCCGAACTCGACAACCTCTGCAAGATGTACAAAAAGTTAACCAACAGCCCCCAGCAACAAGTGGGACAATCAATTATTGGTAGAAGATCTCAGTCGAATCAGACTATAGAGGTAGCAACACTTAAATTATAGAGCCATAAGTCGCGTGCACAGTACATCCCTAGAGAAGCATGCGATGCACACGATTCTCCTTTCACCCTGTCGAGTCATTTAACGTTTCCATTTATCAGTTCTACACTTGAACAACGATTAGACATGAAAATCTTATTCAGGGCATCGACAGGGGTATTTTTCGGAACCTTCTGCACAATACCTTCAAAGTAATCACTGAGGACACGTTGGTGGAGCGAATCTTTTGCTGTTGGGATCGGGAGAACGAGGGGATCATCAGATTGGAGCCGTGGATTATGGGGTTGGATCTGTACCTTCGCGGAAGTTTCCGAGAGAAGATAGAGTTTTGTTTCAGGGTTTACGATTTGAACAGTGATGGGTTCATCACGAAGGACGAGATATTTCAGCTGTTCAAGTAAGTATGTTCATTTTGTGATAAACACAGGTTACTATAATTATTTGTACTGAACATTCTTTAGATTTGGTAGTCGACAAGTATATTTTGTAATAGAATCTTTTATTTTTCATGAAAAGCGTCGGAATTTGTAGGTGGTTGGTTTTGCTTTAATTAAAAAACCACTGCATGTGGAGTATTTTTAATATTTTACTTTGTATTAGATACGAAAATTAGTAGATTAAAATTTTATTTAGTGAACAATAAGTAATTTGATATATTTAAATTACTTTAGAAGCCAATTTTTCATAATTTTTTAAATTAAAAATGATCTATCTACTAAAAGATATAAGTGGCGCCATCTAGCGGCGGAACACATGAACTAAACTGAAAAAACGTATGTCCGAACACGCATATAAGGACATTAAAAAAAAAGTGAATATTTCGCCACTTTGACGACGTAGTATGGTTCCCGAGGCATTCAGAAACAAATTTCTATTAGGGTTTGATGCGTTTTGATGCCTAATAAAGCCAGAAAATGAATTTTTGTAGAATTTGGTCGAAAACGGTACAGGTGGCGCCATCTAGCGGTGAGCGGCGGAACTACGAAAAAATAAAATTTCTATTTTCTCGAAAACTAGGGACTTTTCCGAAATTCTGAGATATACAAATTGTTCCTTGTCGCCTACGGAATCGAACGAATGTAATTATAGCCTGCTAGGACAATTATTAAGGAAAATAGAAAAATAGCCCATTTCATGGACTAAAAAA